TTTGTGGTTTAGTAAAGTATTCATTCTTGGCTTAAAGTCTCTTTAATTTGAAATGAAATGGGCATTTAGGATGTTACACATATGGATTTAATTTCCCCTTTTGAATATATCTCTTTTGCAGAATGTATAATTAAAAAAAAGAGTGTTATATACTATATTTAGACATTTTAGAAAAAATATAAACAAATTTTGTATTACTTGATCAGAATTTCTTTGTGTTTGAAGTTTAAAATAGTCTTGGAACTAAACATGCACTTGTTCTTGACTCCCATAATTTTTATTTAATTTTTAGTGTCTACATTTTACAAAGATGAGATTTATATTTATTAAATACTTACTTTATTGAATAGACTTTATTTTAAGTACAATATACATTTCTTGGATTTGGATGCTTCAGGTTTTGATCTAGTAGATGCTATCAGGAACTCAGCAAATATGGGTTTTCCTCATGTAATCCTGTGGTACAAAAAAACTTTGATTGCCATAGCTTCATAGTGCATTACTGTTCACAGCAGTGATTGAAAGGTTGTACAATTTTTTTGATTTATCATATCATAGCATTGATTTCTGGTGATAAACTGCATACCTGATAAACATAATAAATTAAGCTTTATAAGTCACCCTAGGTTTTATCAGACACCTCATTAATACACATTAAACAATATTTATATCATATTATATATAGTTTGGATATATTAAACTGATTCACTTTGAATCAAATAGTATTCTTAAATATAAAAGTCTCTCTTAAGAACTTTTTTTTATCAATATGGCTGTAATTAATTTGCATATTATTGTCCACACCATGAACTTGAGAGGTTCTTGACAAGATTTTTGTTTCATTTGAAATCTAAATATATTCAATGCAAATTTGAAATTGAAATCATGATAAATTTAATACCAAACTAGTGTCTGATATAAAATTTGTCAGGCTTGGCACAAAAAAATGAAACGTTTGACTCAGTTATTCTCTAGTTCTCAAGTTGTAATAGTAAAAGTTTGTTTATGCCCTGGGATTAGATGGAGAAAAACATTTGCCCAGTTTCAAAGTATCTTTATAAATCATTTTGTATATTTTGGCTTGGCTTGTTCTGAATTTAGCTTAGCATTGTCAGTTTGTTTTCGTATGGGTTCAAAATCCCAAAACAAAGGATTGGAGCAGTCCTTTTAAATTTCTCCAGAAAGGTTGCCCGAAATCATGTTTACAAAATTTGGGCAAAAATTGTTTTTTTTTGCCCTTCTTAATTTTTTATTCATTAATTTATGTATAAATCAGTTTTTGAAAAGTAATTAGATCTTTTAAGTTTTATTCCGCAAGGTAAAAGGCAAAATTTTAGCAAATTTAAACATTTCAAATGGTCTTGTCAGTATTACCGGAATCCCGGTTAAATTTTTATAAATGTGGGCTCCAATCCTTTTTTTTCTCCCCTCGGGTTTTGTTTAATTTTATTATCTTAATATTGGAAATGTAGCCAAAACAATACTGAAACTGGTGAGTATGGCACAAAATAAGTAGGTTTGCAAAAATTTGAAACGGTAACAAAAGGCCTTTCACTCGCCTCTTTTTAAACACATTTTGTTATGAATATTGTTTTGATTTACAATAAATATCATTTGAATGTTTTTATTTATAGAATATATTTGAGGATATATTGGATTTTGTTTTTACAAGAGGGTAACAAATAAAAACACTGAATATAATAAAATTGTTGTTTCGTTATTTCATTTAAAACCATTAGATAGTCATATGCAGTTTACATTGTATGTGTTTAATGCTATCAGATGTTGCATTTTTCTGTTAACTTGAAATAGTTATCAGTTTTGATGACAAACATATCATAGAAGTCTGTTTCATTTTTTTTGGCACAATACTTACAAAGTTCTTGCAATGTATATTTTATCAGATTTAAGAACAAACCAAGACTGATTTTCAAAAAATAACAAGCAATTATCATAGTATTGCAAGCAATCCACAAGTCCCTACCCGGTTAGAACCCCAGTAACATTCTGAAGGGCATAATGTGGCAATTTCACTTATGGACTGAAGACACTCTACAGTTATTTTTTAAACAAACCCTGTTATAGAAATATAACATTTTAAAAGCAAAATTTTTAAAAAGGAGATAACTCTTTGAAACAAGCAATTATTCATAGTATTGCAAGTTTTTTCAATCCATAAGTCCCCTACCGGATAGAACCCCATCAGCATTCTGAAGGGCCATTGGCCATTCACTGATGTGTAAATTTTTCTCTATTTAAGTAAATTTGTTTGGACCCTGTTCTTTAAAAGTGATCCCAGGAAAAAGTTTTTTTAATGAACAGACCGACAGACGACTGAAGGACACTCTAAGTTAATATTTTGAAACATCCCTTTACCAAAAAATATAACATTTTAAAAAGCAAAATTCTTAAAGAAGAGATAACTCTGGAATTAAAGATGCAATTTCATTAAAAGTTTCAGCTCTTTTGACTAGTCACAAATATTGTTATATTTGCCATGTTTTAAGCCTATTTGTTGCCAAGGCAACCAATATTTTTTCAAAATAGGGGGAACTGATAAGACCTGCATAATCTCAAGATTGCCATCTACCCATATGTCAAGTTTCATAAAAATATTCCAGTACTTTTTGAGTTACCACTGGATTCAGTTTATGTGTAAAATTTGCCATATTTTCAGTCTATGTGTTGCCATAGCAACCAGAATTTTCAACATAGGAAGAAAAGAAAAAGACGTGTATAATCTCAAGACTGCCATCTACACATATTACAAATTTCATAAAAATATTTCTATTACTTTTTGCGTTAACACTTGGGTCCAGTTTATGTGTAAAATTTGCCATATTTTCAGCCTATTTGTTGCCATAGCAACCAGAATTTTGAACATAGAATAAAAGAAAGAAAAAGACGTGCATAATCTCCATACTGCCATCTATCCATATATCAAGTTTCATAAAAATATTTCCAGTACTTTTTGCGTTATCACTGGATCCAGTTTATGTGTAAAATTTGCCATATTTTCAGCCTATTGTTGCCATAGCAACCAGAATTTTGAACATAGGAAGAAAAGAAAAAGACGTGCATAATCTCCATACTGCCATCTATCCATATATCAAGTTTTCATAAAATATTTCCATACTTTTTGCGTTATCACTGGATCCAGTTTATGTGTAAAATTTGCCATAGTTTTCAGCCTATTTGTTGCCATAGCAACCAGAATTTTCAACATAGGAAGAAAAGAAAAAGACGTGCATAATCTCCATTACTGCCCATCTATCCATATATCAAGTTTCATAAAAATATTTTCAGTACTTTTCAAGTTATCGCGGGATCCAGTTTTGTGGACTGACGACTGACAGACAGACGACAGACAGACGGACGGAGGGTAAACCTAAAGTCCCCTCCGGTAAACTGGTAGGGGACTAATAAAGATGTAAGACGTCATACCATGATGTGAGTGTAACAAAGAACAATTTTAAAAGAACGTATTAGAAAAAAATTAAAAGTTTAAGGAGGAGATAATTCTGGTTATATGGATGCTAGATTTATAAACCTTGTCATATAATTATGATGTGGGAGTTTGAAGAAAAACCTATCATGATTGAACAAGTTGAAGTAAAAATTACCAATTTCTCAAAAAAAAAGTTTTCTAAGTTCAAAAGGGGTCATAATTCTGGAAATAGTCTTGCTAGAGTATTGAACTTTCTCACAAATGTTGAGGGACAATGAAAAAAATATATATGAAGTTTGAAGTAGATACATTCAGAAAAAAAGAAGTTGTTATAAAAAAATATTTTTTTCATGAAAATTTTAAGTTCAAGGGAGGTAATTCTGAAAAATTTTGTGCTAGAGTTGTAAACCTTGTCACATATGATGTTGTTGATGACTAGCAACTTATATTTAAAGTTTGAAGATAATACCTTAAGAAATAAAGAACTTATAGTGAAAAAACTTATGAAACAGGAATCAGAAATCTTGAAATTCAGTCCATTTGTTGCCATAGCAACCAGAATTTTCATCATAGGAAGATAAGAAAACGATGGGCATAATTTCAAGACTGCCATCTACCCATATGTCAAGTTTCATAAAAAATATTTTCAGTACTTTTTGCGTTATCGCGGGATCCAGGTTATGTGTAAAATTTGCCATATTTTCAGTCTATTTGTTGCCATAGCCACCATAATTTTCAACATAGGAAGAAAAGAAAAAGACGTGCATAATCTCCATGCTGCCATCTATCCGTATATCAAGTTTCATAAAAATATTTTCTGTACTTTTTGCGTTATCGCGGGATCCAGTTTTGTGGACGGACAGACGGAGGGTAAACCTAAAGTCCCCTCCGGTAAACTGGTAGAGGACTAAAAAGAAACTTAGTAGAGCTTAATTATGCTCCCAGGGTTTCAATGTTCCCTGTATTTAAAAGTTCTTGGGCTTGGTTCAAATGTACCATGGGTACCTATTTTCTGTAGGTTCAAAATAAATGTTCCCCATGTTCCAATATTACCTGTATTTCAAAAGTTCCCTGGCTTCCCCTGATTCAAATTTCACCTGGGTTCCAATGTTCCCTTATTTCGTAATTCCGCAAATGTTCTCCAGATTCAAAATTTACGAGTTCAAATTTCCCTTAGTTCCTATGTCCCCTGTGTTCAAAATTTTTATGTTCCCCATATTTCAATGTTCCCTTATTTCCTATTTCACCTTGCTTCAAATGTTCCCTGTATTTCAAAGGTCTCCGGATTTCATATTTCTTTGATATAAATGTACCCTGAATTTCAAAGTTCCCTAGGTGTAAATGTTTCATAGCATCCACTGTTCCCTTTAATTCAAAGTTTCCTGGATTCCCATGTTTCCTGTTTATTTCAATGTACCCTGGGTGCCAATATTCCTTGGGTTCCAATGATTCATGTGTTGGACACCTTAACCTTAAGACCGTACTCTTAATTAATTCATTAACATTAACCAATATAAATGAAAGCATCTGGTAAAAAAAATAACTACACCAGTTAATGTGTTTATATCTTTAATACAAAAATAATAATTTACAGCAACTATCTCTCACCTGACTACACTAATCATCTGGCCAAAGAAAAAAAAATACAATCAACCAAAAATATTAGAAACTGTATAATGCATTGTACATAAATTTATTACATTTCTGAATAATCCAGAAGTCAATTACAACATTGTCAAACCTTGCTATGTTAAAACCCAGTATTGTAATCACCAACAGATATGATATTATTTCCAAGTAACAAAATTAATATTCATTGTAATACCAGTCTAAAATATTATATGAAAGCATACCTGATTGGCTAGTTTTTAAATAGATTTTGAAATAATTAAAAACTGACCAATTAAATGAAAGCATATATGACTGGGTATCAAATTATGCAAAACTCAAATCAGGACCATTCTAAAGTTGTATTAATAATATATATTTGTAAACAATTCTTTTGAGATAGAAGTTTTAGCATATACGATATCAGTACATAATAAATTGGTAAGTTTTCCTATACATTGGTCACTGAAAAGTCTTCCTATACAAATACAATCAAGTCATCTAATATCATTTATATAGCAAATCAAGCAGTACATCACGAAACCCCATGTGACATGAATATACAATATACCTGAAATGAACTACCAATGGACGGAATGTACTCACAAAAAGACATGGTTACAATTTTACAAATAACAAAACATTATTATAACATTAATAAAATGAATTTGTAAAATTTCTTTAGAGAATCCTCTCAAATTAATCCTTACAACACTTAAAAATCTTAAATGGACTTGCCCATGCTACAATCTGGACAAAACCATTTATAATATTTAGGGAAAATTTCAAACTATGAGTGTATAGTGAGTAGTGCAAACTGTGGTTAGACAGCATGGACAACTGCAGGCTGATCTTTGTCTACACTGGTTGCAAATGTATAAGCTGTTGTTGTCATCAGTCGGACAAGGGTAAATGTAGAAACACAATAATAAATAAATAAACTATCATCTGTACATAAAAACTAAAATAAATACGAAACAAGGAAAACTATGTATTATGTATATTCATCACCATTACATAAATTCATAGAGAAATTATTGAAATATTGTTGAAAAAATCATACAATTATGATGCACTTTTACTATTAAAATTCAATTTAGCCATTAAAATTTCAAAAATTTGTCTACAAATGTAAATAGGCATTGAATCAGCCTAGCATTTGCTACATCAGCAAACTTGAATGTCCTAGATCTGCCAGGAAAGAGCAAGCATGAAAACCTTATACCTGACACTAATGCCATAGTTATGAGTGAAGTGACTGCCACTTGTATTTGGGCTTAAACCTATGCCTTTCACCCTCACAGATGTTGTATGAACCATTAGAAATGTGCTACAGTTCTTCAACATCATGGTTTGTGAGCCTAAGTTTGTATGAAGCAATAACCAATATAATCTATGTATATCTTTATGGGTGAATCAAATGATAATATAATAAATGAAAAAAAAAGTTGCTTAATAAACAAAGTTCATATAAAATAAACCTAGCAAAGTTTGAAGAAAATCATTAACCCACTAACTTGAACATTCTAGGAATTATTTTTAAAGCCTACAAACACTTAAGTATTATCACTTTATTTTGTTTAATAGATAAAATGTAAAAAATGAAAGTTATACCATTATCCAAAAAGCAGTACAAATACTACCAAAGAGCCATATAAACTATGCAAAAAAATATAGTTGAAGGAAACAAAAGCTAAACAAGTACATGTACGTGTAGCTTGTCTATTGAAATGAATATTACAGTTCACTGTAATAGTAAATAATTTGGTACACATTTCAATCAAAATAAAATAAATCTTACAATTTTCTTACTTCTATAGAAAACAGAAGATCTACAAATCCTTGCTGCTTGAGAAAATATGACAATGTAAGGTATTCATTTCATAATATACAAACTAAAAATCTCTTGTTCTATGCCAAACACACAATTCAATAAATAGTTTACATTCATAACCCCAAAAAACTAACAAGATAATTTAATCTTATTGATTTCAAAACAGTTCTTGTTTATTTACCACATATTAAATCAAATCAGAGTGTCTTATATTACAGTTTCTGTCACTCAACAGAAATTGACATCACATTTAATCACCTTATAATTATAAATATCACAGCTTCCTCAATCAACCATTGTGTGTGACACGGCAGCAATGTGTCACACTTCCATTACAAAACCGTACAAACTGTCATTCATTAACAGGAACAGAATTTGTATTTCTGACAAATCAAATTGTAGTGATTATAATTGTAAATAAAATTTCATCACAATTTTTGTATATAATCACTCCTACTTGCGAGTATAACAAATTAATCTAACTATGTCACATTAATTCAATGTGTGTCACATTCTGTCACATTTATTCAATGAAGTCACACTCTATCACATTTATTTAATGTGTGTCACACTATCACTTTTTTCACATTTGCATAAAATATGTCATATTTCATCACCATGTCTCATATTTAGTTACATTCTTTGCTTGGTGTCACATATAACTGTTGGAGAGCCATACTTATAAATCTCGCTTTAAACACTAATGCTAACTTATAAGATCAACTGTAATCAGTACAACACTACAATTCAATTCTGTAATTAATGTGACACAGTAATAAATGTCACACAATACAATTTATCACTATGTTATTAATATATAATGTGAATGTCACATTAAATCCACATATGTAAGTAAATGTATGCCACATTTTCTGTCATCATCTATTGATCTGTTCCTGTTCCATTCTGACATGAAGATGACATCACAAGATGACTTTATTTTCTGGGCTTATCAGTTCAGATCTTGTTATTCTTCCTTAAATTGTCCACTGACTCCTGCAAAATAAAACATACAATCATAATCATTATGTTATCCTGTAGTTTAAACATATTTATTTCAATATTACATTTTATATGTGTGTAATTATTACATATCATTGAAAGGGATTAGAACAAAAACAAATATAATAGTTCCTTTCCCTGTATGTTATACTTTAATGTTATTAATGTTAAAATTTACATGAATTCATCTTTAAAGAAGGGACTGCTGTTTTCAGGTCAAATACATACATGTACTTTGAATCATTAAATGTTCATATTCCTGGAAAAAAATTTCAAAACTAACATGTACAATTTTTTTCTTGATCTATGAATATCTTTTCTTTGGTGAAAATCAAAAATGCATAGTTACACACAGGTGAGTATCAAAAACAGGTTTTTATGGTTAAGATAAATGTTTGTTTAAATATTATGTTCAGAACACAACACACATGGAGATTTCATAGCAGCAATATTTTTCTTGAACTTTGTATAAAATATTACTTTTATAAAACAAATCAAACACTGCCAATATATTATTTTCAAAGTTTCTATTATATTAATTTCTGAAAATATATAATGAAGTTTTTTTTCCCCAATATATAAAGTATAAAAAACACCAAAACATGGAAAGGTTTAGCCAGCATGCTGTAACATCAGATATTTTCTAGAGGCCAAAATTTCATGAAATCAACATTCTGGACTAAAAGGTGAGGTTAAATATTTAAAAAATTTCTTTAAATTCTGATGAATTTATATGATACTTCAATGAATACTTGTAGAACATTTTCATTTTTAGTGAAAATCTTCAATTTGCTAAAAGAGCAAAATTTAATTTCCTGCGAAAATCTCTGATTATACAGTAGCTTCTGATTCCATAGATAACCTGAATATAATACAGCATATGTACCATTCTTAATAATGTTGCAAAAAAAACCCAAAATCCTGATCACAAAACCATTCCAAGCAAAATGAAATGTTTATACATGTATCTGACTTACATGAGCTCCAAAGATATCAAATGAATTTAAAAGAACAGAAAAGAGCTCAACAGATGAAATTTAAATAAGCCAAAGTGAAAGAAATAAAATAAAATTTGTAAAAACATGTCCTTAACAAACAAAATGTTGATCAATGAAATTATATAAATTTGCTACAATGAAGCCAATGAAATGTACAATAAAAGAGTTTATAAAAAAGACCCAAATCTGCAAGAAAAGTTTATAAAACTATTTTGTAAATTAATTGCCAAAGATCTACAATCCCTTGTTTCCCTTTTATTTAAATCATACCCTTTGTTTTCTTCTCCTACGTCGACGCTTCTGATAAGATAAATTTGAATGGAATTGAAAAAAATTAATCTAAGTAAACCTCTTATAAAATAAACTTATTTAACGCTATTCGTATTTGAAGAATTCTGTAAAACTACAAGCTTGTTTTTGCTTACATTTGTTATAAGAAAATCTTTATGGTCAAGCCTTTTAACTGCTTGAAAATTTTATTTTTTTAAATACCATGTGTAACTTTCAAATAAGTTGAAAGGTCCTTAGAAAACAATTTACAATTAACTGCTAATTTAAAAGAACATTGTAGAATATCTGTATTGATATTTTATTTGAATAACTCTTAACCTTAACTATTCTAGAGGCAGAAAATGTTATATGTAACTTGCATAACTTAATTGAATACTTAAACATAAAATGTGTACCATTAAAGTTAAAAATAATCTCAATTCAATATTTAAATATTAATAGTAACACATAATTTAAAATCAGCAGGATCATATTAAACATGAACATAGTGAATCACAGCTTTATCAATTCTACAGTTCTAGCAATTCCCTAACAACATTAACCATAACAACAACAACAAAAAAGAACAGCAAGAAAATATCCACAACCTTTTTCGAAAACACTGCATACACTGAATATATCTATAACAACATACACACACCAGAAAACATAGCAACATAACATCAGACAAAAACACACAAAGCACAATTCGTAATAGTTATCCTTCACTTTTCTTTCTTCAGAATTTTCAACTATTATATTTTCATATTAATGAACAACAAAGAATAAAAACAACAAAGAACAGCAAGAAAATACCCACAACCTTTTTCGAAAACACTACATACACTGAATATGTCTATAACAACATACACACACCAGAAAACATAGCAACATAACATCAGACAAAAACACACAAAGCACAATTCGTAATAGTTATTCTTCACTTTTCTTTCTTCAGAATATTCAACTGTTATATCTAAATGCAAGAAATTGGTACCCTGTATGCATAAAGTATTTAACAAATGCTTGTATAACTTATAGGGTTAAATTGCAGCACTCAAGTCATAAAAGACGCCTGGTGTAACAAAACAATCTCAAAAATAGCTTTTAACACAAGCTAATGATTAAGTCATTGTAATATAATAAACCCTTAATTTCAAACAAAACTTGTAAGAAACTTAAGTTAATCGATGTTTACACATTCTGGAAAGAGTTTTTTTTAATTTTTTTTTTTTAATTGAAGAAAATTTGCCATTTTCATTTTAATGTACGATTTCAACTCATATTATCAATCGTTCAATATCTTATATGAACAGATCTTATAATCTGAACAAAACCATTCATTCTTTATATGGAAATTTTCAGAATATTCACTAACTTAATAGTGTACAGTGCAGAACATGATCTCTTGGTCTGCACTGGTAACATGGATTGGGTATAATCTGTTGCTGCCATCAGGCTAAGTATTGAGGAAGTCTTACTGTAATGCTTTCCCGCCAACAAATTCTAACATCAGCCAATTTTGTAGCAAATCGGTTATTTCCGGAAAGTTATTTTTTTCAAAATCATGGGCGTTAGATTATTTACAATCACTTATCCTTTATCGCTATGTACCTTATCCTGGTTATAAACAGTTAAAAAAAAGTGTTGAATACTGAAAACTGTGAAAAATAACATTCCGGCAATGACCTCAATATCCTGAGAATCTGTAAAACTGTAACAACAATGCCCAATGGTGGTTTATATATAATGCTTAAACCTTAAAAAACAACAAGGATGTGCAACCTGTCACCAACTGGAAAGGATGCACACACTTAAAGTTAGATTATAGAAAGTGGATTTGTCACGTAACAGTCATTTTAGGTGTCTCAATACTTACAGATAAAAGCCATAAGCTTTTTATTTTGAGAGGAAAACTGGGACATTCTGATACGCTGACCTTCATCGTGTTCCTATATAAGAGGTCAAGGTTACATTACACATTAAAGGTCAAAATTGAAGGTCACTGCAACATTACACAGTGCAAATGACATCGAAACATACACATTTAAAGCCACATTTAGGGGTTGGAACAACAAAGACTCACAAATACAGAAGCCATCTAGGTTAATTATCTTGATTAAAATGCTCAAACTTTCTGTTTAATGTCAAGGACACCACAGGAAAAATGGTGAAAGGTCAAAGGTCACCACAGTACAAATATACACAAAATATGTACCAATGTGACAAAAAGTAGAAGAAGACCTTTTTAATCACTTTATCTTCACAGGAATAAGGCTTTGCTGTAATGTTATAAGAAATAATCAATGATATATTAACATGATGAAATGATTTGCTAATTAAGTACTAGCACACAACAAAAACTTGTTTCACAAGAAAAATATGTATGAACAAAAATAAGAAATTTTTAAGGCATGTTAGCTTTTCTTTTACAAAATTTACAATTTTCTATGATACTGTTTCAATTATTTCAAATTTCTTTTAAATTTATAATAAAGGCAATCTAGTAAGCCTGATATATAACTTAAAATTTCTTTCTATATATTTAGTGTGTCTACTGGTATTTAAGTTTGTACTCTGAAAATTAAAATTAATTATAGAACAGAAACAATAAAAATCTTAGTGTACACAATTTTTGTGAGTAAAAGAAAACAGAACAGCCAAAAATGAACAGAAAATTTACATGCTTTTACAAAAATTTCAACAAAACTGCAAATTCAATTATACCACTAAATATTGCCTAGCAACAGTCAAGGTCACAACTCAAGGTCACAATCTATTTATAGATCCATACATTTTCTGAGTCCTCAGAGATGGAGGGTAGACTACCCCATGATATACTTTTTTTAGATAACTACTCGTGAAAGAAAAGATATTAATATACTATTTCATTTAATGCATATTACATAATAATAATATTGGCCTCCAAAGTTTAAAAACAAGGCTTTGATAGACCAACTCTGATTGGTTAATTGTAAAATTTATAAGAAGGAACAATAATTTCAATTGGATAATAATGGTTTATTATAGGAAAATGGTTAATTTCAATTTGAGCCAACACAAATTTTGACAGGTTTTTCAGAATACCAAATTCATTCAGGAAGACAGATTTTGATTTGCTGATAAATTTAGATTAACCAATCAAAAAGTCTGATTCAGTACGCTTGTCTTTAACTGGTCACCAACGTCTAGTTTTACCACTTAGAAAGCCAAGCATAAAGAGTTATCAAGCTAATTCTAACAGAAAGATAAAAGACCAAGGATTAATCACAAGATAAATGTAACTTGTTCCTTGATTTAACAGAATAACCAAGAACTGCATTAAACATAGAAATGGTTCTGCATGCCATGCTGAATGCAAGACTCAGATCAATTGTTTGGTAAGAATATGTATTTCTCTTTCACCTCTTCTTTACATATTATAGATAACATTACTATTTTACACAATAACTTTCTTCATTGATTGAAAAACCTTCTTTATATTATGTGTATAACTTTTTTAATTTCATTTCATTTTCAAGTAAAGTAGACTACAAAATAGCAGTACAATAAAGCCATATAAGATATAACTATGAAACTAACAAGAAAAGCTTGGTGCTAAAATGATGTAACTCTTTACAAAATTTATATTCATAAGAACCGTACAAGGAAAGCATCCTGGACTATTTACATCAATGACTAACAATTATGATCACCAAGTTTCACATGATCACCTCCTATAGATGAAGAGCTAGCTAGAACTTACTTGGAAATCGCATACCTGCCTTTTTTCAAGGACCATAATTTTAGCTAAGTGCAATCTCCATTCATGGGACTTTATTTTTAAAGCAATTTCGAAAATAGGAGAGGCACATGTGAATTTTGAATCCAGACACATAGAGACATAATAGCCCCTTAGTACAGTCCCTGAGGACCTTTTGTGTGCAAAAAAGGTCCATAGATAAATGATATACCAATGTAAAGCTAAATGTTTGAAGTTTACAAAAATTTTGGGTAGACATGTCAAATCATGGTACGTTTTGAGAAATCCAAGATGGCCGCCAAGATGGCCGCCAAATTATTGAAAAATGGCTAATATGCATTTTATCTGATAAAATTAGTTTTTTTTTGTATTTATTTTAGTATAAATTATGTAAAACCTTTACATCCTATCGGAACAATATGAAAATGGAGGCATTTCCATTATTTTTTCATATTCCCTGAATTTCATAGATAATTTTGCTAAAAAATGCATGAAAAAATTATCAAAAATTGATATGGGGCTGACATTTTTTCCTACCAGCTAAGGCATAGCGGTGTAAATGAATATTTTTACCCTATACTACAAAGACTTGAACAATATTATACTAATGTCACCCTTATTTTTTATCTTTATTGTAAAAAATGTGGATTCTGATATTCTTAAAGTGGGTGGGGTAACGAAAATTAAGTCTCAGTATTTTGTTAACTGGTTTGTTATGATAATTAAAACTATGAATAGTCAACATGTATTGCACTTTGGCATGTATCTAAAGTTATAGATAATTAAGAAACTTAGATATTTTGTTTATCAATATTCAACATGTTCTGTTGCCATGGCAACGGAGAAGTAAAATGAAAGACACACCTGAAACGTATGACACTTTCAACTTTTAGTATTTTAAGCATGTTGATAAGAATGACACAAACTTAAAAGATAAATAATCTGTGCACAATGCCAAATTGAAAAAAAATGTAACATTAAAAGAAGTCACAAATTATCAACACAGATAACAGCCGATATTTTGAAATTAGATGAATAAACTTATTTCAAGAATATGCATCATGCATTTGCTTTTGTCAAACTGCTATACATAGAAAAAGGTCATGTCAAATGTGCATGTTGTTATGTTTGGAAAGGATAATTAATGGTGATAATAATAAGTAAAGGGCAGTCTTAAGGTAGAAATGTATATAAACATTATCAAATGTTTGAAACTGTACATAGGGTAAACATTTAAGACTTTGTAGCTAAAACAAGAAATAAGTAGGACACTGGTTCAAATTCTAGGTCAACCAATATCAAATTTTAATGACAATCGAATTTATTGTTGAGTTCAAACTTTTTGGTTGTAGCTTGTATTATGAAACTCTAACTTGCATTAGATTAAATTCAATGGTTCAAATTCTAGGTCAACCAATATCAAATTTTAATGACAATCGAATTTATTGTTGAGTTCAAACCTTTTGGTTGTAGCTTGTATTATGAAACTCTAACTTGCATTAGAATAAATTCAATGGTTCAAATTCTAGGTCAACCAATATCAAATTTTAATGACAATCGAATTTATTGTTGAGTTCAAACTTTTTGGTTGTAGCTTGTATTATGAAACTCTAACTTGCATTAAATTAAATTCTGGGTCAACTGATCTCAGTGTTTAATTCTGCATCTGTAATTTTACAATCAAAATACAAAGAGATCACTAGAACAGATTAAGGTCAGCTGGCATGTCATATTGTGTCTGTAATCCAAATATCTTTAACTTCAAAAACAAGAAAGTAGGTCACGAGATCTTAAATTCTACGTCACCTTATACCAGTGTGGCCATGATTTGAACAATCAAAGAACACAAGACAATTTTTCCAACCAAATGGTCTTGCATTGTGGTTTCTGACATAAAGAGTTTTTTTATATAAAGATCGACATCTAGGCAGGGCCATTTTTATGCTCCCCAAAACAATTCGGGGGAGCATATAGTCGACGGGCGTGTGTCCAAAACCTAGTCGGGGAGCATCACTCGGTTCAACCGACTCTTGTTTTAATCCAGACTCATGCTCATTATTTGATGCCTGCAAACTTAGCACTTTATGGAAAGTGTCGGATGCGAAGTTCAGGCGTCTCTTGTTCCACAGACAACAATTGATCTCGGACATTGAGTTTTACGGGCATTTGTCTGTCAAAAAAGTTAGTAACGTAGCTTAGTAGAAATTGGTCATTACTCTTCTGGTTATTTATCCGTGAAAGTCAGATACTTTAACCGACCTTCAAGCTATCAACAAAGAAGTGTCGAAATTGGCGTATAATCCAGGCCCGGCCCTATCATGATTGAAGAAACATGGTAAAAGTCTTCTAGAAATTATTTCACATGCTCTAAACAATAGGGTTAAAGGGATGATTTTATAAAGGATTTTTTTATATAAGTTAGACTATGTAAATCAATTGACCCTTGGGAAAGGTAATTATAATCAAACGGATCATGACTTAACCAAGCTTAGTAATTGTGTATTATATCGTGACATAAATTGATATGGTCATAGAATGAATGCTTCACACTTAAATATCAAAGCACTTTATTTATGGAGAAGAAAATTTTCAAAGCGTTTTCTTTATAACACAAAGTAAAATGACTCCTGGGGTTAGGTTAACTTTAACCAGATTGTCAAGATTTGAAAAATAAATTAAGGTCTTTTTGACAATGCTTTTAACCGTAAAACCTAAGATCTGGGCATTTGGTTTTGGAAAAAAAACAGAAATAATTAGCTATAGGCATCGGTTCGGGTGATCTTCTTTTTTAGCTTTTCCTATATGTAAAATGAAGTGACCCCTGGCATAAATGAATTTGACCACAAGGTCGTAATTTAAGCAAATTTAATAGTATTCTATGCTAGGTCCTGCAGTTATGGAGAAGAATATTTTCATGTTTTTCCTATATTTACACTGTGTAAAGAAAGTTTACTCCGGGCTTCGCAAGGAACATGAATGTGTACATCTTGACCTTTTATTAACCATGACATTGATGTTGTGTCATGCATATCATAAGCACATAGTCTCACGATGGTGATTATTTGTGCCAAGTTATTTAAAATCTTCCATAAAGTCAAAAAGTTATGGAGAACATATAACCTTGACCTTGGTTTCAGCGACCTGGATGTTGAGGTCTGTAGATTGTGTCGTGGTGGGGATCATTTGTGCTAAGTATTTTTAAAACCTTTGAATTGTCAATAAGTTATAGAGCGGACATGAAAAAAAAAGATGTTTTTACATTGGACCGTTTAGTATAACCCTGACCTTCAGGGCTGTGACTTGATTATTGTGCTCTGCCAATGGTGTCATTATGTTGATCATTTCTGCCAAGTTATCTTAAAAACATTTCAGAGGTTTAAAAGTTAGAGACAGACACGAAATGTAGACTTTCTAACATATGACCTGTAAGTGTGGGTAGCAATTCTATTATTGCGATCTGCACATCGTTTTATAATGGTGATCAATTGTGCCAAGCTATTCAAACAAAATTTTATAGGTTTAAAAGTTAAGGAGGGGACACGAAATGTAGATTTTTATACATTTGACCTTGACTTTGGTGTAGCAACCCAATTTTTGCGTTCTGCACATGTTCTTATACAGGTTATCAATTGTGCCAAGATATTTTTTAAAAAATTCAGCGGTTAAAATGTTGGAGCGGACACGAAATGTGGACTTTTTAACATTTGACCTTAAAGTGTGACCTTGACCTTTTGGGTAGCAACACAATTATTGCGCACTGCACGTCGTGTCATAATGGTGATCCGTTGTGCCAAGTTATTTCAAAACTTTTCAGCGTTAAAAAAGTTATGGAGCGGACACGAAATTTAGACTTTTTATTATTAAATGAAGACTTTTAACATTTGACCTTAAAGTGTGACCTTCACCTTTGGGGTAGCAACCCAATTATTGCGCTCTGCATATTGTCTCATTATGGTGATCACTTGTGCCAAGTTATTCCAAAAATTGTTCAGGGGTTCAAAAGTTAAGGAGCGGACACGAAAGTGTTACGGACGGACGAACTGACAGACGGAGGCCATTCCTATAGGCCATTCCCCTTTCCACAACGCGGAAGGTGATAAACAATGTTGGTTTAGTCCCATCTGAAAAAGCCATACATATAAAAGCTCGAGATATTTTTATTTATTTCTGGGAATATTTGAAAACATTTCGCATTGTCAGTTCTATGACTAAGATGTACAATAATCCGATTTGTGCAAAAAACAACAACAAAACAAAATTTCTGTCAAATTTTACCCAATATAGCCTTTACACGTCACATCAACACTTTAAAGGGCTTTGTGGCGACTTTCCTGCTTTACTGAGAAGACCTTAATATGTTTCCCTCCGTGCATTATTTCATGATATTGACACCTTCTGGTCATCTTTTAAGGCAAATCAAAATTACAAAGTCTATAAGAAACGGAAAGTTGGCTTATTCAAATATAGAAAACATTAAAATTGTTTGTTAAATAAAGAAATCAAAGTCATATGTTCATCCTGATTCCAAATTCAAATACGTCCTGAACTTAATCTTAATTTGGAACACACTAGTGTTCATGTGCATTACATGCTACCGAACAATTTGAGAAATGCTGTTTTTCCTCATCTCCAATTTCATTAAAACTATGGTTTTATAATGACTTATTTAAAACAGAAAGCTTATATGAATTTTGGATACGTTCAGCCGCGGGTTACTCCACATGATTTATTGATATTTATTGATGATGAGAAAATAACGAAATTGTAACAGTTGATATGATTACCTTATAACTGGTAAAAAACGGTCGAAAACAAAAGCAAAATCTATCATTACACAAAATTTAATAAGTGCCTTTCTGATATATATAACATGTTTAAATGCGTTAAAATCAACAAATTTATATCATAGTTATAAACATTAAGAAAGAATACTCGACATTAAATGAAATTTCAACAATTATACAAATCTAGATATGACTATGTAAAACTATTTGCATATAAACATACTATTAAATTCTTTTCAACGTGATTTATAATAATATTATGAAACAGACCGCCATCTACTTAAATAGTCACATATTTCTAAAGAACGAAATGAGGCTGCAGTAACAAAACTCATATTGTTTAAATATAAGAATTACTTATATTGTATAATTAATTTGAGACTTTTTAAGTTTTAGTTTTGTGTACATTCTTCTGTAGCTTGTTCTTAATGTATACTGGAGTTTGTCCCTACTGTATCCGATTTTCAATAGATAAAACAATGGAGATTCTATACAACGTTTAATGTGTTTAAATGGAGGGGTTGTTTTTGGTAATAAGACAAGATGCCATTTGATGAACAGTTCGGAGTTTGTTGATGATGATTTAAGACATACTGACCGTATAACGAAGCATTAGGTGGTCTGACCTGTAGGTCACAAAATAATTTATAAAGAATTTTGAGGCAACGGTGGAATATGGCCTATTTGTTTTGCGTAGCAAGACATCTATACAGGATTTATAACTTATGCTGCTCTATATTTTTTAGAATAGAAGAAAGTGTCAAATTTCTAACACAAAATGGTAATTTTATCCATGTTTCTCCAACTGTTAAAATATTTCAGCTGGGCTTGTATTGCATTGAGATGAGAACACAATCATTCAGGTTTTCCAGATGCATCCATGGAACATTATCTTGAAGACGTTCTTCATCACAACATATTGACATATTGTCTCTTCCTTCTTATCACATTTGATCTGTGGGATTTTTTTTGCTTTATTTGTTATTATTATTATTATTATTATTATTATTATTTTTATTATTATTATTATTATTATTTAATGACCAATAAATGAAGAATGTTGAAAAGCTTTTTTCTCAAATCGGGCCAAATATCAAGCATAAATTTTATTTTTCAATATAACTCTGAGTAGATAGAGGATATTCAAGTTTTTTCTATAAATACATGATTTATTTTCATCGAGTGGTATGAAAATAAATATTTCATGAGTGGCGGTAGCCACGAGTGAAATATGGTAATTTTCATGCCACAAGATGAAAATAAATCATGTATTTATAGAAAAAACTTGAATTTTCTGTTTATTATATACATTTTTCCCTTTCTGGACATTAAAATTTGCAAAACTTTCCCTTAAATTTTGAGTACTGGCAGAATTTAAAAGAAAGTAGTCCGGCAAGACACCAGTGAAAATACGGAAAATATGTTTCACTGCAGTGAAAAATAAATTTTTACAGTGAAAATACGGAAAATGAAAATACGCATTTTATTTCATCAATATTTCTCAATATTTCATTTAAAAGTATATAATAAATTTCATTATTATCTTTTGCCTCTAAAACTTTAAGCGTTTTTATTGTTACAGTAACTGTTCAGCGAAATGTTACCGATGTTTTAATTCAAATTTGTGTTTTTTCATGGAAAGTAAATGTAGTGAAATTTGAAATGATTTTTTTTTGTTTCAAATGTATCCAACTCTGAATTCTGTAATGCATAATCATGACATTAACTTCTACAACATGCTTGAAATGATAAACTGAAAACCTCATATATTTCCGGGTTTCTCTCATTTTACCACTTTGTTGCCATGGCAACAGAACCAATTAATGTTGTTGGTAGAATGCAAATCTACCTTTAAAAAAACTAAAGATTTAAGAACATTTCAAAATGTAATCTTGTTGGTTATACTTAGTCTTAATAATCATTATATATCAGTTCACTAGAAATTGTGACTCAATTTTCGTGTACCCCACCCACTTTAGGAATGTCAGAATTCACATTCTTACACAATAAAAATAAAAATAAAGGTACAATTAGTAAGTTGTTGATCAGGTCTTTGTAATATATGGTAAAAATATTCATTTTCACTACTATGCCTCGACTGATAGGAAAAAATGCCAGCCCCATGTCGATTTTTGCTACTTTTTCATGCTTTTTTAGCAAAATTTCTCTATGAAAACAAGAGTGTATGTATAAGAAAATGGAAAAGGACCCTTTTTCATATTGTTCCGATAGGATGTGAAGTTTTAACATCACCTGTACCAAAATAAATATAAAAAAGAACTAATTTTACCATATAAATTGAGTATTAGCCATTTTTCAATAATTTGGCGGCCATCTTGGCGGCCATCTTGGATTTCTCAAAACGTACCATGATTTGACATGTCTACCCAAATTTTTTGTAAACTTCAAACATTTAGCTTTACATTGGTATAACATTTATCCATGGACCTTTTTTGCACACAAAAGGTCCCCAGGGACTGTACTACCTAAATTAATTGCATACATTATACCAAAAACTGGAAATTAATATGAATGGGCCAGGATAAATACAGTTGCTCTCTTCAGTCCTGCTAAAGAAGGTAAATCATTTTGCACCAAGCCAAGATAAGCAAAGTTCTGTGCTATGAAACTCGGTGACATAGTGTAATACAATATAATTACATATATTTTCATGCCAAATTAAAATCAAAAGTTTACTAACCTTCTTTGCATCTCTCTGTTTCTCCTGTTGTTGTTGTTGTGGGGAAGTCTCAGGTGACGAGTCCTCTCTATCTAGTCTGTGTTGTAACCTAAACAATCGGGGATTGTAAGCCCTACAAGTCAAACAAGCCAATAACATCCAATCAGAACCCTTGTTGCAAGTGGAATAACAGAAAATGGTTTCTCACTAACATGTAACAATTAATTTCATTGGTTTAAAAATAAAATGTTTTCCTTATTTCTTTAACTTCTGGATTTGCCAAAAAATGGTTTTAGGCATATGAAAATGGCTTATTACAGATTTAAAAATGTCCTTTATAGTAAAGCATTTTTTTTTTACCTTAAATAATCAAAGTATATTTGTTTTTACCTTAAATAATCAAAGTATCTTGTGAGTATCATCAAATTGTAGAGAAAAATCATTATGTATAGAAAAAGATCATCAGCATTTAGTATCATACACAGGCACCAGACACAATTATTTTACCCATATACGCTCATAATACTATATATAAAGAATATATTTTATATATAGTATTATGAGCGTATATGGGTAAAATAATTGTGTCTGGTGCCTGTGGTATCATATTCAAATTTTTCAACATTTAGTTCAAGAAAGTCAATATTTGCAGGCAGCTCAGAGTGTATTGAAACTAATACATATCTGACTTAGATATATATATAATATGGAGTCATTCTTACTTGTGCATTTTTTAAAAACAACTTGATTACATTAACATTCAATAATTAGAATATAATTGAAAAATAGGGAGGGGCTTGGAACTGTGTTCATAATCTTCTGCATTATAATATAATGTCAAATGTAAACTAATCAAGAAATACTGGAAATGTGCTTAATTCTCACAACAGAAAACACACATTCTGTTGCATTTCATGATTCCATTTTATTTCCTTACTATACTTTTTCAAAGACTATAAGTGGAGTTCATTTGCTACCATTAAAATACAGCTTTTTAACCTTTTCCCTCATAAAAACGTGTTTTGACGGTTTTTTGCCACCCCTCCCCCCCACTTATGAGGCCTCAAACTGAAAAAATGCCCTTTTAAGGCCAAACACTGTTTTTTGTTTGAGAAATGTTGTTATAAAAAAATGACCATTTTTTTGGCGCCGCCCCCATCAAAATGATACATCAGGGGTTTGCCAGAAGGGGGTTGTGCCCCCTTCTGTTTGGGGGATTTGAAGGGGGGGGGGGGGGGCGGTGATCCCCTTCGTCACCAAGAAAATTTTGGACATGTGACAGGCTAAAAATAGCGTCCGGTCGATCTTTGGGTAACTAGTAACCGATGCTGAAAAGTCTTTTACTCTATCTCAATTCACTGAGAAGTTGCAGTACTTTGAAATCAGATTTGATGGAAAAAAAACATCAATGCAAAATAGTGATTTTTGGCAATTTTGAGACGTCCACCCGTTGCCATGGTAACAGGAAATTTACGATTGAGCATGCTGTTATAGAGGCTATGGTCTAGTCAACATTTGTGCCATTTTAGTTTCAGCAGTATTGAAAATTTTTTCATAGTTTCATAGCAGTTTGAACTTGTAACAGGAGGCTTATCAATGAAAACGGCCATTTTTCACAATATGCTCATGGTGTACAAGGTTAAGGACACTAATAACTTTTATATTTTAATTACTTTTCAGATCAAAATTCCAGCAAAGCTCACTTGCCTAAAACGATAATAGTAGTTTTATTCAAAACTTGCCCTGCTTTGAATTTTCAAAAGTTCATTAAAATTTGTCAATAGGACACAGATACCCCCAACATTCCACATTTTTTGTTAATTTACTAAAGGACAACGTGACAACAGGTAAGCATGATAGATGGATAGGACAAAAGGTGATCTATATGCCCATCCCCCACCCTTAGTAGTAGGAGCATTTAAAAGAGAGGGATTTCTGTATCAAAATACTGTGTAGCTATCATAATAGAATCTCGCCACAATGCACCAATGAGCAAAATAGACTGGCTCTAAAATAGTAGCATAGGCTGGCAGGGGCATAGCTTGGTATAAATTCATGTATAGACCAACTTTTAGCATGGGTGGCTGGGGGTTTCAAACTTTGGGTGCATGGATGGATTGTCAGAGGTGTGTTTTGACAATATTTGTTGTACAATAATATGTCAAATGGGTTATTACTATAACTAATTACTAAGACAAATGAATCATTTCTATGCTTTCAGTTTCTTGGTAAAATGCCACAATTATTTTGACCACATTCTTCACATCAGTCAATTCTAGTTTTTATATTATAGCTCAATAAACTTTGCAGACACATAAAGCCTAGACAGACGCATGAACCCTTTAGGGTTATTTTTGATACTTTGTCTTGTCTGTAAGTAAGAATCTGGACCCTTTCATTTGTTTTTTTTGTGTTTGTATTGACATAGTGCTACTGTCAGACATTTACTTGGAAATGACATACTGCTCGTCAAATATTGTTTTGTTGTCTCAATAACAGGACTGAGTGACCACTTAATTAGACTTGAGACCAGTTTTAATAAACAATCCCAACATATTGAAGATGCATGGAATGTCCTAAATTATTTCAAAAAGTTTCTCTTGGCCTCTCTACTAGTTTCTTGAAACTATTGACAGTGTTTTTCATCTGCACATCAACTAACTAGTATATAGTCACACACAACATATTTACTGTACAATGATGAAGCTTACATAGCCTATAGTAAGAAATCTAGCCTAGATAAAAACACACCTAGGAAGTGAAAAAAAAACACATGGAGTCTGTGAATAGCGATTTAAGCTAGCTTACTATAATGCCAAAAAGGCAAATTCTGCAAAATTACTTAGATCTATATCTAAAATATGTCAAAAGAAGTTGTTTTTTTTAACTTTTTCCCATACCATAAAGAGATTATCTGATGACATAGGATTCTAAAAAAAAATTATCTTAAAATCAATGCCTTCATTAAATTTTTTATGCAATATTTTTATATAAAAAAAAATTTATCTTAAAATCAATGCTGTCAATATATTTGTTATGCAATGTTTTTTACATAACACATGAAATATTTGCTTGGTATGTACATACTTGTTAGATCTGATGAAAACAAAATTCCTGCAGATTTTACGAGGAATTAAAGTCCTTTTAATATTTATTCTATGGTAAACAAAGGTAACTAGAAGTGCCACTATCATGGCTTGAATACCCCCGCATACCACTTTGTCAGAAACAAAAGTGGCCATTTAGAGCTCAAGAACAACCTCCCTGCCAAATCTGAGGTTACTAAGCCAGTGCATTGCTAAGTTATGTATTCTACATGCTTCAAATGTGAAAAATCAATACATTGCGGACAGGACATTCTTTAGCAATTGAGAAGAAAAGCTTTTTTTTGTCAAGGTCCCTGTGACCTTGACCTTTGACCCAGTGACCTCAAAATAAATAGGGGTCACCTTATAGTCATGATCAACATCCATGCCAAATATGAAGACTGTGGGTCAAAGGAATCGTAAGTTAATGGGTGGACAAACTTTTTGAAGTCAAAGTACCTATGACCTTGACCTTTGATCCAGTGACCTCAAAATCAAAAGGGGTCATCTACTAATCATGATCAACATCCATGCCAAATATGAAGACTGTGGGTCAAAGGAATCTAAAGTTATTGGGCAGACAAACTTTTTGAAGTCAAAGTCCCTGTGACCTTGACCTTTGACCTGGTGACCTCAAAATCAATAGGGGTCATCTACTAATCATGACTAACCTCCATGCCAAATATGAAGACTGTGGGTCAAAGGAATCTTAAGTTATTGGGCGGACAACCTTTTTGAAGTCAAGGCCCCTGTGACCTTGACCTTTGACCTGGTGACCTCAAAATCAATAGGGGTCATCTAATAATCATGACTAACCTCCATGCCAAATATGAAGACTGTGGGTCAAAGGAATCTTAAGTTATTGGGCGGACAAGCTTTTTTAAGTCAAGGCCCCTGTGACCTTGACCTTTGACCTGGTGACCTCAAAATCAATAGGGGTCATCTACTAATCATGACTAGCCTCCATGCAAATATGATGACTGTGGGTCAAAGGAATCTTTAGTTATTGGGCGGACAAGCTTTTTAAGTCAAGGCCCCTGTGACCTTGACCTTTGACCTGGTGACCTCAAAATCAATAGGGGTCATCTACTAATCATGACTAACCTCCATGCCAACTATGATGACTGTAGGTCAAAGGAATCTTAAGTTATTGGGCGGACAAGCTTTTTGAAGTCAAGGCCCCTGTGACCTTGACCTTTGACCTAGTGACCTCAAAATCAATAGGGGTCATCTACTAATCATGACTAACCTCCATGCAAAATATGAAGACTAAGGGTCAAAGGAATCTCAAGTTATTGGGCGGACAAGAAAAAATCGACGGACGGCCGGACGGACAGCCGGACGGACGAGCTGATTCCAGTAAAATTGAGGTAAAAAGAGAAATGGTGCCAATAACCTCATTTTTGAAAATAGTAACTCAAGAGCATTTTTGTTACTTCTTTAAATATCATTTAATGGCAAATCCATGCATTTAAAAATAGATAAAAATTTATTACTATTATTATTTCTTTTCTGAAAGATTATATTAAGTTATATTCTTAAATAAGATACATTGTATAATTATATTAAATATAAATCATATGAACATATTTGGATACAGTATTTGTTTACAACTTACATTTTTTTTATTAAGGAAAGCATTAGAATGGGTTACAAATTACCACTTCAAACATCATGCAGTGAACATATAAAACAGTGACACAGTCAAAATGTTAGAGCTTTTATGTGACAGTCATTCCAAAGGTGAGTGTAATGTTGGTGAGAAAACCAGTCAAACAAATTCTCCCATACAGATCTCTATACCCCGTAAATATCCAATCATATCCAATTAAATGACACATAAGTCTTGTAAATTACCATTACAATTGATTCTATCTCAAAATCATGTCCCTGACTTAACATTATAAACCATTATTTATTGAGCTGTCTCGAATCTCAGGATTTCTATTGGTCAGTGCTCATTCTGTACTGGTTTCTGACCAATGAAATACCTGAGGTCCGAGTTCAAGTCTGTGAAATTTCTTTATTGTCTCCCTTGTCGACATTAACCCCAATCTGAAATTATCTCTTTTGCATTCTATCCCAATAAAACAATTCTTACAATGCCCAGCTCATCATCGTCACCTTAGTGCAATAACTGAATAAATCCTAAATTTAATAGGAGCTCTAAGGTGACAAATTATGTAGTAATCTTGTCCCCTTTAATCCCGTTATAAGTTTGAATAAATCCCATAAACGTCCTTTACTCTACAAAGATCGGAACAGACTTGTCCTGTTTTAATCTTAGAATGTTAAATTTGGCACCAAAATTACTAAAATTGACAAGCCGGCAGTAAAAAGTCTGGTCTGACTGCAGGTATATGCATGCGAGCTTGACTGGATACTGATGGCAAACTCCAATTATTAGTGTTGAGAAAAAAGTAAGAATAGAAACCTGGTTGAATTTGTTTGACTTTCCACTCCACTTGCAATACATATACCCCATTCCCACAATATTGGCTTGTTTACATGTAGGTTGAAGTATACAAACACCAAAAGACACAAAAATGAGAAAATTCAGCTAAAATAAATCCTGCACCAAAAAAAAAATATTAATGAGATATTATGACAAAAAAAAAATTCACATTTTTGACCATCCTTGATATATCCTTTTCAAAATCGAAAACTTACTGTATTTATTCATCTATAAAACAAACTGATAATAAGACAAAGTGTAAATTTTACATTTAAATTGGCTATGTAAAATTCAAACCTGCTCAAATAAGTGAATTTTTTAAAAACTGAAAATTGTGTAATGCTGTTAATTAAAGGTGTGTCTTTTGGCATTTGTATACAACAGTAAAACATCATGCGGTTATACATATCAACAACTCAACAATATGTACAGTAAAATATATGTTTCCTGTTTAAAAAAATAACTTTTTCATTAGAAATTATTGCTACTCTAAAATATTGTTTCTGAATAAATCATTTTTTTTAAAATAATGATACAGTATATCTTGAAAATGTAAAACAGGAAACAAACATTTTATTTTCAAATGAAGGCAGGAAAATGACAGCCCCTAATAAAAACTTCTAAAATACCATAATAGATTTTTTATTAAAAAAAACAAAACTTTTGTTTAGAATTTCATAAAAAAAATTTGATTTAAATAATCAGCCAGCTGTCTATAGAAAACATTCTCCTGTCTTCAGTAAAAAATATCACAATAAGTTTTAGGCCCATGTACATATCAGTATGGTAGAAAATATAAACATCTTGCTGGGTCAAAGATTGAATCTGAAAACCGGGAACCATTCTAAAATTAAAGTTTCAATGCTTGATCAATGATGCAGATTTAGAATAGACTGGTACCCGGAAGTTTTAAAATCTTCGACCCTGACATTAATATACATTTGACAATATCAAATTGAAAGCAACACCAAATCTCCAACACACCGAATATGAACTATTAAATACAGCATTTGATATGAAGCAAAGCATTTGATATGAGGTTATCAAATACCCATCAAAGTCTAATACTTGTTCTTCTTTTTATCAAAATTTAATTCAAAATTTAAAGACCCAAACAGATATACACATTATACCAGAAAATGCATCTATTCTAGATATACATGTTGTAATATTTTATTCTTCAATGCAACTTGGGCAAGTAGAAATTTTTGTGAAATTTTGCAAATTTTTAATAACATTTCAGAAAACTATAGCATATTCAAATGTGTAATAAGCCTAAGTTACACAATCACACATAATTATGTTTCATAAAATCCCTACACACAAGCATAGCAGACACAATATCCAGGCAGGCACAAACAATGATCAAATCCTTTCTGCCGAGACAATGTGAAGAATTTTCAATTTTGATTCTCAAAATTTTCAAATAATATAAAGTTTGCAAGAATTGTACAAAGTTTACTTCAAGAAATAAAATTGAAACCAACTATCAAGTGAGGATCACCAACAGAAAGGATTTTGATCGTTTGGATTTGGTTCTAAATTCTGCACGGAAAAACACAAAGCGATCCAAAATTTACCTGATATTTTTCTCATACAGTTCATCCTCAGCACGTTTTCTCCTCTCCTCCTCGGTGAGGGCGGGCGGTGCTTCTTCTGGTAACACTCTAATAGAGTTCTTTAAAGCTTCCCTTTGCTGAACTGGTTCCGGCACTAAAATTATCAGTTCAGTATAATACTAATCATGCACAGATCTTGTACGACAATACCCATAATGTTGACTAACATATTTAGAACCTGATTGTCTTGAAGGTGAATTAAAAATATTTTTCTGATGGCAAACATTCCATTAACATACTTATAACGTGATTGTCATTAAGGCAAACATTCAATTATACTTAAAGCTTACCTCACTACTTAATCAAAAACTTTTTCCAAAAAATATACTCATAGGAAAGAAACATGTTTTTATCACATGCTTTTGTTCTTTATCTAAATAAAATGTGATGTATATTTTTATGCACTTAAAAAGCTAAATATCATGGAATGAAAGTGAATCATATTAGAACGTAAAATTACACATTAAAAAGTTATGACATATTTAATTTATCATCTATCTATTAGAATATTGAAATGTGATAAGCTTTCAAACATTCTCAACATACATTTAGATGGGCCAGTTACTGCTCTACTTTTCTTCCAAGATGACAATGTCTTTGACAACCCACTCGTTGGTTTAGCTGGCTGTCTTTCTTCTGGTTTAGGGCGGACTGGTTTTGGTGCGACTTTTGGCGGAGTCTTTTTCGGTGTCGGTGGAGAAGGTTTCTGATATAAACCTGCCGATCCACCAAACTGCCTGATCTCACCAGCCAGTCTTCCTCTTGGTGATCTTGGAGACTTCGTCTCTTCTGTCGTCTTTGACTGTGTACCAAATTTACTAAACAGACTGGTTTCCCTTGGCATTGCTCCACCATCATGTGACTTTGATGAGCAGTCCGATGTTTTTGGAGGTTCCCATCCTCGAGGTTGCAAAGCTCTGTTTAACGGTTTCGAGGAACTACTTGTACTCGCTTCTTTTTCTTTGAGTTCAAAATATTTCTTTTCTGTACTAAACAAGTTAGCTCCCTTGGACTGAACTGTGGTAGGTGATTTACCTCTTTCTGCTGCAGCAGAGCTTACGGACATTGATAAAGTTGGCTCTCTTACAACATTTACTGGGACAGCCCTGAAGACCTGGTGACCTGTTTCTGTCCGCTGCGCAGCTAGAGCCCTCTCTTTAGCAGCAGCGGCTCTCCTCTCTGTCTGAACCATAAAGTTATGTCTACGAGCTTCAACAATCTCCTGAAGACTGTCAGATTTGGAGGTATCTGTAACACAGACATAATTTACGAAATAAAGAAACCACAATTCATTTATATATTTTTGTACTTTGAAACAAAATTCTACCATTCTTTATGATTTACACTCAAAGAAGGTTTTTTCTTTCAATTTCAACCACTTGTATATAAACTATACTTGATAGTTGATACAATAAGTTTTTATATGACTAATTCTTTAAGATAACAAGTTTGCTTGAAGTTAGTGGTGCAACAAAAAATTCCATGCTGCATTACTTGTATTTTGGTATTGATACCTCATAAAACAAAATCTATTTTTTTAAATATTTGTTCACAGTCACATAATTCAACTTTTTTACAATATTATATGTATGCAAACACCTTCTATTTCTATTCTTTCTCCTTTAAAGGAAAATTTCCTGTGAAACAAAGTGAAACCGGTTACGCCATTTCCCTTACCTCTAAGACTATCATCGTCAAAGTTTTGCGAAAATGACGCCGACTCTGACTCGGACATTTCATGCTTCTCGAATGATTTCAGTGAGTCAGTGCTATCGGAAAACTCTTCAGTTTTATTAAAAGCCTCGGATATAGAGATTTCTGAGCCCATGGTCATAGTGGTCATATCTGGTAGCTGCTCCTCTGTGATCCCGGAACTGTGCTCCGCCAACTTTAAATCAAACAAGCACAATTTTCTATTTATTTTTGTTCTAGTTTTAATTCTTCACATGATACATTATAAATACATTTTTTAATAGTCCATATATTATCTATTATTATGGTTTTAAACTGAGTTTGAATATTTTATGGCCCAAATTATGGGTATACAATACAAAAGGAAGGTCCATCCTCTAATATTACAACTATAATAATCAAGAGGAAAAAACTGACTACTGACTTTAAACTAAGGTAGAATTCTGACATGGGCAACTTAAGTTAACAAACAAACAAAGGGAACTTAATGTAATTACTTATAATAAGTTTTCAGTGCATTTTAATTGGAATGTTGTTTAAGTTACATGACTTCTTTCCCCGTACACTTCTTGCCATTTCATTCATGTAAAGTGTAGCATAATAAAAGAAATAAGTTTACAATACTAAAGACCTTATGATAATATTAAAGTTAAACAGTATAAGGGATCTCGAAGCATTTTATACTGGCCTCAAAGTCAGCCCCTAAATATCTGAATGATTAGTCACATGTTGCCTAAGTATTATGTGCTATTTCTAAAACATTAAAGTACATGTACTTACATAGTCTAGGCTACTTTCATCTACAGTAGAAGACTGGTTGCCTGATTTGTCTCTTGTACGACTGGAATCATCTTGAGATAGACTGGTTTGCTGGTGAGACAGTGTGGAATCAGTCTTACTTTCTTCACTTACTTTATTCAGTCTGCTTCTCAGGAAATTTGACCTCGGTTCTGGTTCTGAAAAATAAATAAACAATTTAATTGTATTACAGAACAATTACTGTAGACTTTAGTCAATAAGTGTTTCTTTAAACTTAGTGTTCAGGTTATTGAATATAGAAAAGTTGCAGTTAGCCAAAAAATTATCTCTCCAAACAACTCTGATTAACTTATCACCAGTGTTCTCGTTGAAGCATGATTCAGTGCCCTGGTAGTTGGTAGTCATGTTTATTGCCATTAGACGCCTATATTTCAAAGTTGGGATTCTGCATACAATTATTTTTGCCCGAAGATGCATAAACAAAATTGGATGCTATACAATGTACCATGTTACATTGTACTTTGAAAAAGCTATTATCATAGCCTTACTTTCGAGGCAAGTATGAAAATATTAGTCTTTATGACCATGACCCAGTCTAAACACTAAAATCAAACACATGGGTGGAGGCCGTCAAAAGTACAAACACCAAATATATAAGAAACATTTAAAAATATTCCAGAATGGATAATACTAAAGCCTTTAGTATTCAAATACAGAAAACAGTGATAAAATATAACCAATACATTTTCAGCATTTGCACCATATGATGTTCCAAAAGCAATCATTTTTGGATCCAATTTTATCAGTTTAGCCTGGTTTTCATTTTCAGAGTCCAAAAAGTCCATATCAAAACCATATGGTCATACTCAAATATTCAATTCAAATAATTCACGTTTAAGTAGTCTGATAATTTTAAGGACAAATCATGTACTTACTAGGTGGTTCCATAACAGTTTGCTTCTCTGAACTCTTCAATCCTGAAGTTATATTTGGCACAGCTGAACTCTTCTCTTTTGAAGACAATTTTGGCACATCTTCCTCCGAATTCTTATTCTTACTGATAATCTGTTTATGTTTAGCTATAATGTTTTTCGACTCACTTATCAAATTATCGAGACTTGCGAATCTCTGTTGAACATAGTTATTATTATCACTAACATTTTCACCTGCCACTTCAGAGTCATTCAAGGTGTACTGGCTAAGATTTGTGGCATTTGTCATGTTTAAAGATGGATCGGAAGTGACGTTAGTAAAAGATGATGATTTTGGGTTTGAGCTGACTGAACCACTGCCAAATGAACTTTTGTTGGAGTATTCCGTAAGACGACTCTCGCCCGTGGTCTCGGGTAATGTGTAACTGGTAAGACCTGAGAAGCTCTCTAATTTGGAGGCAGATTTATCCTGACCACTTCCTTGAGAAGAAATTGTATATTGTGTAAAGTCCTGTCCTCCTTGACTCGCACTATTTCGCAACGATTTATCCGAATCAGAATGTTCCGAAATTAAATCCCCATCTCTATTCACAGCAAATGTTTTTACTTTATTTTCTGGTTTTTCCAGCTTTTCAAATTCTTTCTTTATACTCTCCAAAGATTCTTCGGCCGTCATGCCAGAATGCCGTGACACAGAATCTGTAGGTGTTTTTCCATTGCGGTCAGGTGACAGGGTGTTAAATTCTTCACTTCTTCCGGAGGTGCTATCATATGACATAGAATATGAAGAGAGTTCGGTTCTTTGACCAGGGGATTTGAACTTTGAACTCGTTGAATCAATAGTATTGTCTGGTTTCCCATTTGTTTTATCCCCTACAGTTATCTCGGAGGGAAGTTCTGAAAAATGTGTTCCATTCAAGGCAGACTTTCTCCTTCCATCTCCTAGAAAATAAATTAAAAGGTAATGAAAAGTTTATAACAATTACATGTATCTTTCATGAAAATGAAACCATTTTTGAAATTATATTTACATGTAATAAAATAACTCACATTTGCTATGTAAATTACCATTTAGAATACTATCTCTGTTGTTGTTGTAAGCAAAATAAACAGTTTCATAATATATTCCTGTTCCATGAAACTGCCCCTTATATAAATGTATCCATTACTTTAATGAATTCTAGCAGTACTTTTAGAAAATATTTATGTTTATGTAAAATGTAGGTAAGTTGCTGAAGAAGTTATTTGTATGGAAGATGTTACATGACATGTTAAAGACAAACTAACTCACTAACTTACTGACTGAATTTTGACTCAATGGCATTACTGTTATTACTGATACAAATAATATTAGAGAGAGTCTTAACATAAAGTTCATATCATTTGATAAGAAAGTTAATTGCCACATACAAAATCATATAATTCAGAAAGACCAGAACACAAATTTATACCTGGAGTTGATGTTGACCTCTGCTGTTTGCTCTCAGAGAGGGCGAATGAATATTCTGTAGCTGTTGCATCTTGGGGCTCTCTGCCATTGGTCAATCCAGAATGAGGCTCTACTTTTGCAGAATCCCCTATTGGAGATCTCCTCACAAGCAGTTCCTTTTCTACAGAGCTTGTACCTGATTGGATGGGATAATTATGTGACTTTTTGCCTTTCTCTGATTGGTCATTGCCTGCCATAGATACATCAGTAGATTTATCAGTAAATGAATATTGAGAAAGGTCACTCGTATCCTGTTCTGGCATAAAAGGGCGGGATACATTTTCACTAGAGTTCATAGAGTACTGGGTTAAATCTTCTCGACTTTGGTCCGGAGTTTTATTTTGTTGGTCTGCCAGTTTTTTAGCTAGCATATTTCGTTCTTCTTCTCCTTTGCGTAACTGTTCTTGAAGAGTTTTCAAATGTTTTAACATGGCTCCTGCATTCATGGAATCAGGTTCTAAACTGTCCAAAACAGAATCCATCTTTGAGTCTTCTAGGGAACTACTTTCTGACTTGGAAGTATCACTCTCAGCCTCTGGCCCATTAATATCAGAGTAGACTTTAAATCTACTTTTGTCCCCTGTAAACAGGGTAGCTTCCCCTGATGGCTTCTTCTCTGTACTTTTACTTGCGTCTGGTTTCATCACTTTAAAAGCAAGATCAGACTGGTTTGAAGGTGGGATTTTAAATTGTGATAATTCTGTAGCCCAATTAGAACCAGTCTGAAAACTACCATCACCTGTTCTAGACTGCCTGCTTTGACTGGTTTCGTCTAAGGGTCCTAGAATATAAGAAGACAAATAGAATATACTTGTTGACAAAGTTTCTACAGAAGTTAAAAATTACACATACATCATACATGTAATTATAGACTTCAATATATGTGAACAATAGCTAACAATCCTAAGGTTTGAGAGTTAATTTTGTGCAATTTGATTGAGGTCTGCACTGTTTGCTATTTTTCCAGTGAATAATCTTTAATTTTTCCTGAAATTATTGAATGGTTTTGTCCAGATTGAAAAAGGGACAAGACAATCTAAGATATACAGCATTATAAGGGTTAATATGAGTAAAGAAGTACACTGACTCAAGTCATTTTCAAAATTATAAGTGTTCAAATATTAACCAAACAACAGTGTACAATAAATTTCAATTGCTTATAAAAATCTTACCTGTAGAAAATGAGCTAGGTGTTAGACTACCACTAGACAGTGGATCAGCTGATGTGTGTCGTCTGCTCACACTGAATTCTAGAGAATCGTCAAATTCATTATCGAATAGGACAGCATTAGTTTGTTTACGCAGTTTCTGTAGAACCTCTTGTTCAAATCGTTTTGCTCGCTCTAGCACGTCATCAATATTCTTTCCACTATAATCAGCAACAGTTTCTCTTTTTGCTGAAATTGAAAAATGGAAATTAAACAATTTTTATCATGATTATGGCAATATTTGCTTTCTGTGTAATATAGCAATTATGACATTGTATTTCTTAATACTACACATGTAAAAATTAACATATTTTTATATTACACCTGATAAATATAAAACATTAAGACTGTATCAAGGGTGTTTAGTCAAGAGTTGATATTTGAAAAATTAAAAAAGTACATGAAATGTAACACAATGATTTTGCAATTTTCAAATGTTATCTTGCCTTATAAGTTATAACATGATAAAAAAGGATCTTATATACACTGTGTCATTCCTTATAGACTTATATTAAACCTACCAAATATCACTTAGTAACATTTTCAAAGGGTGTCTACAGTGAATCTTGTGAATGAATATAGTGACAACTTGTGTAAGACTAAAGGGATTCTTAGTCACTGGGATTTTTTTTTTTGAGATTTGTGTATTTTAAATTATGAAAATAATTACAGTGACTAAGACTTTTAGTGGATAATTTCAGATCATTCACTCACTCTTATTTTTTCAGAATAATTATTTATTTATATTGTGCAAAATTACCTAAAAATTAAATGTTTATATAAACCCTTTAAACTTAGGCTAAGACCCCCACTTAAAATTGATTTTTAATTGAATTCTGAATAATTCTTATAAAATATTTGTATATTTCAGTATTTTCATTTGTATACTTTCCAGTTTATGTAATTCTAAGTTAATATTATGTAAGAATTTCATATATTATATTTCAACGAAGCTCCTTTAAAATTAATTTTTCAATTCATCAACTACACAATTTTCACTCCCTCAGTCCCTGTAGCTTTTATTATAATAATTTACCATCTTCTAATAAATATGATATACCACAAAATTAAAAGATATAACATAATAAAAATACCTTGAATAAAAACCTTAACTTCTATCATTAATGTATTCATCATATCCTTTTGATCATCCGGCAAAAAAAAATATACAAGAAAAATCTATGCTTCCAGAAATCTAAACTTCCAAATTAAAAAAAAAACAAACTTCCTACAAGAGCTTTATATATCAATTATACAAACAAACATAATTCTTGTAAATGAAACCTTAAAATCAAAATTTCACAAAAATATCTACAGCCATCTGCTTATAATTCAATACTTTATAATCCGCCAATAGAATTATACTTCACATTATTAATTTTAACAAAGTCACTTGATAAGGCAATATCTAATATCAAACTAGCAGCATGTTTAAACAAATGGAACGACTATAATAATGTTTATCTCAGATAGCAATCAATGATAATCCATGCCTACACAACACTTTCTTTTACATATCCCTACCTATGCAAGCTTTTTATAAGCTTAAACGCAAATCTCAAAATTTTATTAAAAGCTCAGATTAACTTTAAATAAATTTTAGAGATACAAAAATCCTACTTAATGACTGGAAATTAAAGACTTACAATATTATATTTAAGTATTTAAAAAGGAAAAACAGCATGTGGAGTCATGTGAATAAAAAACAAATTTTTAGCCCATACCTTACAATATACATGTAATTCCTTGTAGGATATCCAGTTTTAAAAAAAAAAAAAACAAGGAAAAAGAAAAAGTTATTTTCATGTGTTTACACACACACAAAATAATGAGAAAAAAAACGATCATTTGTTCCGGTGTATAACCAAAATTCAATAAACTTATTGTTCCATTAAATTATTGGTAATGAAATATTTATCAGGCTATTAGTTCAAACAATAAGATCCAATTTTTTTACATTTATCAGCTTCCTTTCCAGAAATGATTTTTTCCAATAATCATTAATTATCTACCTTTGTCAAAAATGACCGCCAATAAACACGCAATAGCTGATATAAGTAAATATATGCTATAACTACCAGTACTCTATGATCGAAATCCATCGAGTTTGAAATCTAATATCATTAACTTAAACTAGACAAATTAAAGCAGCTTGTCTCCAGATTTATGGCAAAATTACAAAAAAAAACAAAACATTATGGGGGTGCGTAATTTGTTCATGTACAAAAGTGAATTATAAAAGAGATGTATTTTTGTGTATTGTTTTAAGTATTCTCATCAAACAGGGTAAACACATTGAAAGAAAACTACCATTTTGAAGAGACTGCTAAAACTAAGGTGTTATACCATCTTTAGCTTGGGGAATGGATTATGCCACCTTGAAAATCTTAATGTAATATGATTTAACTATTGTTACCAAATTTTTTAAAATATCAATATATATGCCTGACTTTGAACAAAACTCAAAGACAACAGATTCAATTTAACCACTCAAACGCCAAGTAAAATAACACAAACATTCATGGGGAAAAAATCTGCAAGCATGTTGCTTTAATTTTTTTTTTTATTTTTTTTTTTTTATTGTAAAATTTTGTTTTCAAAGATAAAACCAAATTGAAAGATTTAATCAGAAGCTTCAATAACAACTAAACTATTCTATTTTATGATTAAGATTTATGTCTGTATTATGCAATAGATTAACAGGTTTATAGATCTATTAAGCCTATCATAGCCTATCTGCATACAATACAACTTTTATAGCTTGTAGTAAAAAAATTCAAACAAAGTGAGATTTTTATACATTTAGTATTACAAACATGTCAATATCTAGATATAAAGTAGATGTCAAAATATTGCATTAAAACTGCAAAATACAATCATCCTTGCATAATAAGGCAAATCCTTATAAATTGATATGCCAGAGCACTTTTACTTGCTGACTGAAACTTAATCTTTTGAATGCTTTACGTTCAAAAGAGGACAAAAATAATAAATTACAGCTTCTGAAATCTTAAATGGGTATGATAATTTGTACTAAAACACCTTCAAACCAGTAATGTTTCAACAACATTGGAGAAAGTGCGGTTTAACCCTTGGCCTGGTGGTGGCAACAAATTTATCCAAGTGACCAGTGCCGACCAAGATCTGAGGGGACATCCATACACAGATAGCCAAGTGTTTTGATGTTGTTTCTCTTTTGTATCAAGGGCGAAAATAAAACATTTGCCCGAAATAAAACACTTTCCCTGTCATTACAATACGTAAACCCCAGAAAAAAATGTAACTTATATGCAAGCCTGGTAACTGGTACATAGCAAACTGTGGGGCAACTGCAATGCACGTACTAGTAACCTGCACTCAAGTAACTGGATTTTGCACTAATGGGGGGTAAACAATTTATCTTGAACACATTTTCAATAACAATGTCTCCCAGGTGTGATTCAAGAATTTTTTTTTTTAAATAAAAATGCTGACAATCAATATACATTTGAGCCGTGTCACGACAAAACCAACATAATGGGTTTGCGACCAGCATGGATTCAGACCAGCCTGCGCAGGATCATGATCAGGATCCATGCTGTTCGTTATCAGTTTCTCCACTTGTAATAGCGTTGGTAGGCGAACAGCATGGATCCTGATCAGACTGCGCGGATGCGCAGGCTGGTCTGGATCCATGCTGGTCGCAAACCCATTATGTTGGTTTTGTCAGGACACGGCTCATTTGTATGCAAACAGTACAGAATATGGTAAACATTGCACAGATGTTTCGACTTCCCTGGCTCTATACTGGTACAATAGACTTAATCATTACCATTGCTGGCATTCAAAATATTTAATCAAGATTTTCATTTTTTACAAGTGGATTAAAATGACAATGAAATTGAATAAGAAGATTCCATCATGGAACATGTCTCTTCATTCTGATGCATATATCAATAAACTTTCATAAAAACAGTTTTATATAGCACTTCAAAATGCAATTAATATATTTAAGACTGAAATAAATTTGCAATTTTCCTCACGTCAAATAAGACTTTATTTTACAGTATAAAACTTATTGAAAGTGAAGGATATTACTGTAAAGTTATTATTGTAACTGAATACACTGATGAAATAAAAACGCCAAATAAATCGAGCCTATACAATTTATAAAGTAGCGTTCTTTTTTCTCTCAAATTAACTGCAATTTGAAACTCGGCTATTAATTCTCAATTTCCAATGGGTTAAATACTATTTCATAATAATTACAATGGATTAAAAAGTAATAAAAAAAACATAATCAGCGGTTAAGGATAGAAAATTTTTCAATCAATGCATTTTAACATGCACAAACTTGACTCAGGCAAACATAGGACAATCAATGGTATTGTTTGGAAATTGTATATGTATATTGTATATATACAAACTTATACAATAGTAGCATCACAGATTTTAACCATGTAGGGTAATTTTTTTTGCTTTATTGATTTGTTTTCTTTACTCTTGAAATATGGGGGTGTCTCTATTTCAGAATGTAATAAGATCAATATTTACTTAATGACAGACAGTATTATGACACTTTATCATATATGTATATATATAAACATACAGTACAGTAACCATATGGTATCAGAAACTGAAATCCATCAAATACTTTATTTTGAAAACAATTAATTTAAGGACAAAATGTTTTACAGAAGGAAAAAAAATAAACTGGGCATGTATTCATAGGACATGGATGCCCCCATATTCAACTCGTCTGTCACTATTTTGTCAGTCTATGAATAGACAGCATGACAGGTGGACAAAAGCAAATCTATATTCCCCCACCCCCACTCCCATGGGGACACAAAAACTTTATATCTACAATTATAATATAGCTCAAAAAGATAAAACTATCTCTACTATTTTTTCTACTACAAATAATGTATGGTACAGCTTTTTATTTTAACAAAATAAATACAAGTAGTCAAGACTTCCCTATGTCATCATCATTACATCCAAGTCATGCCAGCCTATACATCTGCCTAGTTAGCCCCTTACTCTATATATAATGTTGTTGAATTAATTCAAATGAATTTGTCTCCCGTGAAGTCCTATTTATAGTTACGAATTCTATGAATTTAAATAGAAAACGAAAGTAGCATGTGGACGGTGTTGATATTGTGTGATAAACTTTGAAGATCACTGGAAATCATCCGAGTAACCGAGTACTCGATCAGAAAAATGACCGAGTACTCGAGTATTGATTTTTTTATTCGTTGCCATCACTAAATATAATTGTTTTTCCCTCAATAAATTGTTACGCCATGTAAGTAACTAGATTAAAACCTTACTGACATACAAGTATGACTTCCCATTAAAGGCCAATTAAGGCTCAAAACCTTTTATTTCTTATTTCTAAAATTGTACTGATTGGCCATATATCAGAACCATCTTTTAAGTTTGGCCATTAAGAGAGTCATTATGAATTTGTATTATGAATGGTAAAAAAATACATCTTTATGTTTTGCTATTTTTATGACAAATTGTTTCACATTAGACTCTTTTTTCTTCTTCATGTCAAATGCTTCTAACATGCTTCAAATAATTATAAATCACAGGTTTGTCCTTCTTCTGAGGAAAAATCACATTCATTTCAGTTACTTAATGTGCCTATAAAGAATTTAACACAAACACTCTGTTTATCAATAGGCCTTTTTTACTGTCTGTATTTCTGTATTTAACACAGTGAATTTATCATTATTAAGTACCCTATGTCATGTCCTATGACAAATTAATGTGAACACTGCATGTTGAAATATTTACTTACAGAAAATACTGATAATGAAAAATATACAAGAAAACATCCAAAATTTAAATCTTGAAGTTTCATTCAAATCCAGCTAAAGCCAGTGAAACAAGGTTTTCTAATATAATAAATTCAAAGGGATGTAACTCCACTTCAATCATAAATGCATATAATGCCAGTTAGGATTCTTACTCCTTCATCCTTTTAACTTACTTGATAGGATAACTTATAGCCAAAAACAGAGGTAGCTAAAAAGCTGTGTCTCACTTATTTTTTACCTTTTGCTTTAGCCTGGCTTTGCATCTGTGTTTCTACCTCTTCTAAAATGGACTTTTCTGGAACCTCTTGGATTGTCTCTTTACGTGAGAAGTCGAGTGCTTTCTTAGACTGCTGGGAAGCCTCACTGTGGGTTGAACCTGACATTCCTGCTTCAGAGTGTCTAGTGCTAGCAGGGGTATCAATTTCAATAATTGTGGATAGATTGAGCGAGTGTTGACGGCCATCTTGCTGGTTTAAATCTTTTTCATTCTGCTGCTGTAAAAAAGAAAGGTATGCTAAAATAATGCTTTTTACATCTAATTACATCTGTATTTGACAAACTAAACAAAACTTTTATTCATTTAACATTAATTTTGATGAGACATAGACCATCTTAATTTAAAATTAAGTAACCACATAAGAAAACATTTTCAGTTTATCTCAAGCTTACAAGTTTTATCAAAGACATAGAAGTAAACCATTTAAGGTAAGAGTTTTCTCCCTTGTTGCTTTACAGCCTTAACTGTCTCAGTTACATCTCTCTGTTCATTGATTCATCTCCCATTTCTCAGGCATGAAGTTACATGTAAATCTCCCATTCTTTCACACTCTATCTTAACAGTGATACATTTAACTGCATAAACGTTACAAAATATTGAGTGAAACTAAAAACAGGATTGGAGCATCACACAAAATACCGTATTCCAGTATTTCCTGGACAAAGCGCTTTAATGATAAAATGCGGAAATCTTGCCTTTTTACCCAACGGAATGAATTTTAAAAAGTCTAATTCATCTTTCTACTTTGATTTATGTATGATAATGAATGAAAAATGTAATAATCGGCAAAAAAATGATATTTGTCTATTTTGTAATCATGATTAGAGGTACTGCTTCAGTCCTGTAATGAGTTGAATCCCAAAATATTACATACCTTTTCTAGTTGTTTAAGTCTGAGAGATTCACGCAGCTGTAGGGTGATTTGTTCTGGCTGTAGCGTGGCTAGCTTGGCTTTAAGCTCCTCCTCCTTACTCTGCAACTTCTGTTGTCCTTGCTATAAAACAATCAATGTTATAAACTCTCGTGTTAAATATCATTTATCTAATGCTATATTTTCATATTTTACTTATCTTTTATGTGATTTCCTGTTTTTGAATTTCTCTGCATTATCATTATTAATTGTTGTTTTTTTATCCTTCATTTGTTCACCTTAATGTCCCATGTTGCCCTATTTTGTTACTTAAAACATTTGAATCATATGTACAAACAAATTGTACTTGAAACGACATGCCAAAGATTTAATCATATCAAAGAAAATGATATGCTCAAGGTATGGGATGTTGAAACATACGTTTGGTTGTTTCTTTAAAGCTGTCTTTTTAAAGCTTAAGTGTATAGTACATTTGCAATTTAAAAAATTATAAAAAAAACAATTGGCTTGCAATTGACTTGAATGTCTTAAAATGATAGAAGTAATACCTTACCTGATGTCTACGAATGATTTCATCTTTCTGTCTCTTTATTTCCTCAAGCTGGTGTTTTATTTCATTTTGTCTCAACGATGATAACTCATCTTTTTCTGCCATAAAACTAGAGGCAGTCGTATCTACATCTGATTCCTCTGTAGTGGTACCCAGCTCTGCTGCTTCTGGTCTAATTGGAGCCCTGGGTGCCGGCTTCAAAGAAGGACTTCCTCTTTCAGTAAGACTGGATACGTCAGTTTCAGTGATGTCTGTTGCCGATGTTAAGTCAAGATGGTTCTGGGCATAAGCTTCGTACACTCGAACAGGTGTTTGGAAAGAATCATCAGCATCAAAGGGCAAAGACTTTCTTATGTTTTCTAATTTGTTCTTTCTAAGGTTAGTTTCTAGATTTATATCAGGGTGAGTAGGGATATTATTTGCCTGGACATGTCCTACTGTAGCGACGGTGCCCTGTGTGTCACTGGTTGTTGTTGTTGGTCTGCTGGTACCTGGCTGTGACAATGTTGCAGCATAGTAAGGATGGGCAGCAAGTGAGGCCAACAATGAGGTCACTGGCACAGACTGACCTTGACTTTCTTGACCCGCAGCAGACGACATTCTTGGTTGAGTATCTAAATGTTTGGCTCCGAGTTCTTCCAATCTAGAAAGATCCAAATTAGGATATCTTTCTAACAAGTTCTCTCGCCTTCTCTTTATTTCTGCTTTTGTTTCATCAAGCACTTTTTTGCTTTGCTCGTGTCTTGCTAACAAGTGCTCTTGATATTCTTTCACTTTCTTCATTTGGTCAGACATGCCTTGGGATGTCAAAGATGCCGGAGGAATATGACCTGGAGAGACAGTCTGACTTTGTAAGCTTGTTGGTGCCATGGAAACACTGCCAGGGTAACCAGGCTGACTGGTAGGCTGTTGCCATGCTGGGGCAGCAAGCTGATCTGCAGTCAAAACGGCAGATGGTTGCTGAAAAGATGAATAACTTTGCTGACCTTGAAAGCCAGGGTAACCATGACCTTGGGAGGTCATGAGAGGTGCTGTGCCTGTTGTATGGGTAGGTGGAATTGAGTTCATAGGTCGCTGTGACATACCAGATGCATTTGAAGAAAGACTGCTTGCAAATTGTTGCTGTGCGGATGAAGCTGGCTGTTGAGATGGATCTACAGGCTGACTTGGAAACTGTGAAGGTTGAGGAAATGGCACATGTGGCTGACCCACCATAGTGGGTACCTGAGATTGAGCATTTGGATATTGAAATGGCTGAGTGGGTGGAGCTGAAGTTCCTGGGTATGGCATTGGTTGTCCAGGTTGTCCGAATGATTGGAATCCTATAGGACCTGGATGGCTGGTTTGAGCTGTATACTGGTTATAAGATGGTGGAGGAATTCCAGGGGCAGATGCCATGGGAGGTTGTGGCATTTGAATCTGGTGAGGAAGTTGTGCCCCTTGGAACTGCTGTTGTGGGGGTTGTTGCGTTGCTGCCTCCTGAGCCTGCTGGGCTTGCTGCATTAGTTTCATTTTTTGTTGTTCATATGTCAACTGTTGAAGTTTAAGTTCTAGCTGTCTTTTCTGTTCCCTGAAATAAAATTCAACAAATATTCAGAATTTACAGTCCCAAATTCTGATGGTGTTAAATACAATGTGGTGGCAGTTAAAATTAGTGCCATCATATTATTTCATCTCAGTGTAGGTATATTTCCTATTCGTTAAGGATCAACGATTTCACTATTATTATAGGGCATGGAATGTGTTTGGTTAAATGGGAGTAGAATATGATGCATTGATCAAAGAAGCTTATTATGTGACAATATTTACCAATCTCCTCTGCAGTGATATCCCCTTATCAGTACAGAGATTTCTGCCACCACACATACTTTGTTATTTTATATTTTTTAGCTTTTGAATTCATTTTCATTATTTTGTATAGAATTGCTTTTGATAATTTTTTTATAAACTATAACAAACGTAGGTACGAAAAGTTAAAAATAAAACAAAAGAGAAAAGGACGTTAGATTTTCTTTGTAAGAGTTGAAATTTATAGTATTAAATTCATAAAGACTCAGAATAAATGTGGTAACTTACATCATTATTTCTTGTTGTCTCATTATTTCAGCTAGTTCTGCTTGCTGTCTGTCACTCGGTAATGTGACGGTTTGTGTCGGAGCTGAATGTATCTTTAAAAAAAAAATATATATAAATAATTAAAAGTTATATTAAAAGACCATTCTTTTATTACTAGAATCAATTTAAATCAAGAAAATTATGTTATAACATCATATAATTATCATATTTATCATCTTAACTGACAGATTAAACATTTGTTTTGCAATTATCTGATTTGGAAAAGCTTTCAATCTTGGTTACAAAACAAATTACATATTTCCATTGATTTCAACATTCTTCTTAATTTGCATATTTTTCAAAATAATTTCTACAACAGACAAAACATCCGTATTCTAGAATATTAGTGAATGATCAAAATCAAAATTCTAGAACATGTAAATGATGATATATATTTTTAACAATTGATATCAAAGGAGAATCTTGACATTTTTATAGACTTTTTGAATTACAGGCTGCTGATTATTTTAACAAATCTCAGCAAACTGTTTGCTTAACCCTTTCCCCCATGAGCATATTGTGAAAAATGGCCATTTTCACTGAAAAGCCTCCTCTTACAAGTTCAAACTGCTATGAAACTATGAAAAATGCTTCAATACTAATCAAACTTGGCACAAATGTTGACTGGACCATTGCCTTTGTAACGACATGCTCAGTCTTAAATTTCCTGTTACCATGGCAATGAGGGGACATCTCAAAATTGCCAAAAATCACTATTTTTGCCTCGATTTTTTCCATCAAAATTTATTTCAAAGTGCTGCAACTTCTCAAGGGATTGAGATAAAGTCAAAGGCTTTTCAGCGTTGGTTACACGTTACCTTATGATCGACCTGGGGTCATTTTAAGACTCTCACAAGTCCAAAATATTTTCTGACATGTGTTTGGGGCCCAAATAGGACATTTTTTAACTATTTCAGGCCTTAAAAGGGGGGGGGGGGGGGGGTCGAAAGTGCGTTGTTTCACGTATATATGAGGTAAAGGGTTAAATGGATATTTAAATATATAATAAAGTGACTAAATTTTTGTATATGAAGCAATTAAAAAATCACCTGTACATTAGTTTGCTGCTTTTCATTAGTTGACATCAGTTTTTCAGCAAACTCATTTGGAGGCATGGGGGTTTTCCTGTCAGCAGGGGGCGCTGCTGGATGACCAGATGGCGCTCTAGTTGCCTGAACAGGGGAGTGCACTCTTGCTAGTTTTTCAGGGGAGGGTGAAACCTCATTCTGGGCTGACATAGGAGATTCATCAGGTAAGAGTGGGTAAAAATGGTCTCCATTCATAGCTGAAAATAGATAACATATCAACATTTACCTCAGTTTTTTTCTTTTACAAAAACATAAAATTGCATGATTTGCAGGGCATTTTCATCTGATCACCTTGGGCCAAAATGAGGCTCCATTCTTAATCCAAAATAGCCTTTTTTACCCAATTTCAAAATAAAATTCAAAACAATCAAACTGGTTCAACTTTTATGAAAAACTGAACTGTTTTGACTTTTATTCAAAAGAAGTGACAGGTTATAATCAAACACATGTAAAAAAAACTAAAAAGTCATGTATTAGATTGATTTTCAACTTCTCAAATTTTCCAAAATGACTAGGCCTTTTCCAAACCTTTGATGTCAAAAAAATCTAGGCGTATATAAATAGTAGATTTTTCTATCTCATACAAATTCAAAATCTGTACCTTAATCAAAAACACATTTTCTGAATGCTAGGTCTTATGCTGAAAATGATTTTGTCCTAGTAACAAAGAAGAACTTAACTTAATTCTCTTCTAACATTTCAAAAATATATGTATCACTCTATGAAACGATTAATTTAAACATGTCAGTATGATCCTACTCATAACATCTATATTATTTATAATACAACCCTTATTATTACAAAATATTACCTCCCCTTATTTTAAATATTAATTGTATAAACCTGTAGAGTCAGTGCTTCTAATGTATTGTTGTTGACCTTCACCAACGTCCATCATTGACTGTGATGTTATCCATTCTTCACGTTGAGATTTTATACGATCCATCAAATTTTTCAAAACTTTCTCTGAAACAAAGCAATAAGAATGAGCCAGTTATGAAATTTTGCAGCTATACTTCTAATGGGACACATAAACAAATTTCAATGAGAAATAAAATTCAACAGTTATACTTCTGAGAATATATTCTTTTTTGTAATATAAAGTCATGCCAATACTTCTTAGGTCACAATTCTAGCTTTCATAGTGGAGGAGTACCAAACATCGCTTGTTTATTGAAAATATGAGACAACCTCCATGGGAACAATACTTAAGCTAAATTTAGTTCTAACAATTCTAGCTTTCCTGGTGGATTTCAGTTATAAATAGAGTATTAAAACATGCAATTAGATTTATTGTCTATCAGCCCCTAAAAGCTGGAAGGTCGTATATTTTTACAAGTCTGTTTTTGAAAAACAACATAAATTTCCATAAAAGTGGTTTTTACATTGTATTGTATTTGCGATCAAAATAAAAAGAAAAATAAAACCCCGGTCCCCAATTTTGGGGTTTACCCTAGTATGAAAAATTTAACTATTTTCCCCCTGGTTTTTTCCGGGAAATTTTGGGGGTTTGGCATTTGGGTTTAAAATCTTAAATTTACCGGTGGTACCCCTTGGAAAAGTTGGTTGCTGTATTGGTGAACCATCCAGTGTCGGGGGTTTTAAAAAAAGGGGGAATTCCCCTGTGAGGGTGTGGGGGGTTGAGCTGGGGGTCAAGAGCCTTTACTAAAAATCCCCTTGTTGTTTTGGTACCACCCATGTAAAATTTTCCCAAACCCCTCTTTTTTTCTCTGTTTCTTTTCAGGGCCCTTCCAACGTGGCTAGGGGGTTTTAAAACCTTTGTTTCTGTACTTTAATAAAAAAAATTTAAATTTTTAAAACAATAGTTTTAATAAAGGGTTGAAAATTTATTTTTACTATCAAATTAAGTAAATGTGTTTTAAGGGTGGGAAAAAACCAAAAAAAAAAAGGGTTGTTTTAAATGCATTGGTCTTTTAAAAAGTAAAAATTTTTCATGATACCCTTTCCCTTTGGGGTGAAAATTTTTTTTAACTTCATTTTTTAAAAATAAGCAACATTTTATTTTTGCTTATAAAAATTTTAAAAACTAACACTTAAATTTGAAAAAAGATAAAAAAAAAAATTTTACGTATTTTATTGTAAATTTAAAAAAAGTTCACTAAAAATTTTGCACTCCCAACTACAAAAAAAAAAGGGTTTCATAATTTGATAAATAATTACAGGTTTTCGTGGACTTTTTTAATTTTCCCCCTCTCGATCGCTCTCTGAAGGTCACTAAAGGTCTTTAAAGAATTTTTTTAAAAACCCGGGAAACCCTTTAAGGGAAACACAATTTTTAATAATTTTAAAATTTATCAAATACCTTGGGGCTGTTTTTTCCAACCCGTAAAAAGGGTTTTTTGCTGGGGGATGCATATTTTTTTGACAAGAAAAATTTTGGGTGTTAAAACCAAACTAGTGTAAAAAGATGGAAACATGAAATTAAAATAAAATTAAATCACCATATAACTATCTTTTTTTAAAATTATTTTAAAGGCCCCAAATTTTTCCTTGGACTAAATTTTTTTTTTATTTTAAAAGAATTTCCTGAATTTTTTCCCTCCAAAAAATTTAACATCGAAAAATATCAAAAGGAAAATATTAAAATTTGGGTTTTTTTTTTTTTTTGGAAATATTGGGCATTTAAATTTATTTAAATCAAAAACCCCTTTTTTTGTTTTGGGTAAAAATTTTTGGTTAAAAACCATTCAAAATAAATTTGAAAAACCGAAAAACTGAGAAAAAAAAAACGTTCTGAAATGCCCAATTCTTTAAAAAAATTGGCTGATGTTAGAAACTTTTTGGCGGGAAAGCATTACAGTAAGACTACCTTAATCTTAAAAACTGCCAACATTTAAACACCTTTCCAAATACACATCACCCTAAATATAACCTGAACTTTGTGTATTTATATAGCATCATATATAGCTCACATTCCTCTAAATATCCTAAGTATCACTCTATGAAAGACATAAGATCCTCTTCAGAAATATAAAAAAATTTTTTTTCTACCCAATTCAAAAAATGTTAAATTATTAACAATGTAAATAAAAAAGATGTCCTAAATTCTCACAAACAAATTTTATTTTGTTTTTTTTTTCTTTTTATTGTTAATATTTGGGCATAAAAATTTGGGCCCATAAAAAGAAAAAAGTGAAAATTTTGGGAAAACCTAAATAAGTACAGTTTTTGGGCCCTTTTAATTTAAACTAAATTAAATATTATCAATAATTAGGACAAATAAATCGCCCCGACATTAAAAAACTTTTCCCAAAAAATGGTTATATACGCACTTTTTTTAAACAACATTTGGATGGAAATGATTTTATTTTCAATCCTTTGGCATTTCATAAAATCCCCCTGTTAACCTAACCCATCAGGGGAAAGTGCAGGGGATAAGGTTTTTAATGAGCTTTAAATTTTTGTGGAAAGGTTTAATGCTTGGTTTTTTTTGGCATAGCATAAAAAATTGATATTTTTCCCTTCAGTGTAAAGGAAATATGGGAAAGGAAATTTTAACCCTTTTTTAAAAATAATTTCTTAAATTGCCAAAAAATAAAACGGCCACTGATTTAAAATTTTTTCCCTTCCCTGTGTAGTTTTTAGAAAAATATTTAACTATTTTATTTTCCCAAAAAATTTTTTTTTTCCCAATAAAAATGTTTTTGCTTTATTCACCCTTGTATATGAAATACTTAAAATGTTTGGGGAAATTTCCCCTTTTCCCCAGAGGGGCATTATTGAAACCTTGCCCTTTTCCATTTTTTAAAATTTAAACGTAACCTCTTCGTTAGTCCCCTCCTTTGTATTCTCCCCGGGTTAAACGAGCCCCTCTGGGGTTTAATTCTAAAAAGTACATCGATTTTTCTTGTAAAAAAAAATTTTCTAGACTTGTTTTAGCCTTTAAATCAAACTGGCGGGAACAGATTCTATAAAGAAACCCCAGTGTTTCCCCAAGCAAGATACCCCGCAATATTTGTGAATCTTTTTTTTATCTTGTTCTTACAAATCCAAAACCCAAATGGGTTTTAAAAATTTTAATCCCAATTCTCCATAAACCTGATTTTGTCCTATTTTAACATAGAAGGGCCGAAGTGGGGTGTTATTATGCAATAAATTGTTGAAGTTTTAAAAATCTAACATGTGACGTAAACCCTTAGAAATGTGAAGTAACCCCTTAAAAAGCGACCCCCGGGGAAATTTAAATATTTAAAAGAAACAAAGGGACAGTTAAGCTTTTTAATTTTCAAGTATGAAAAGCAAATTTTTTATATTATTTTTTAAATTTAAAAACACATTAAATAATTATGTTATAAATAAAAACTAATAAACTAAAATGTAAATTTAAATTTAAAAATTTCTTCTTAATTAAATTTTAAAAATTTCAATTAAATTTTTTTTAGTTGGATTTTGTTGGAAGCTATAAGCTTATAAAAACAATCTCAAATTTTTATCCTGGAACCAGTCTAAAGCAATATGTTTAAATTTTTTCTTAAAGGAAAAAACAGCTTTTCCCCCGATGTGGTTTGAACCACGCTGCAGCAAAATTAATAAAAAAAGGGCCCCAACCCCTTTAAACCAAATCAAACCCGCTAAACCAAGTTTTCCAATTTAAAAGCTAATCAAAAAGAATAATTTTGGGAAATTTTTCCTCAGGAAACCCGCTCTGTCTACGGCATGTTCGTTCTGTAGATGGTAGTGAGATGTAGAGAATGTTTTCATATCCGTTACCTTTACAGCATCTGAAAAAACAATGTTACATTCCTTATATACTTGGTAAACATGATTTTAATCTTATATTACTATTTTTTCTATAAATCTAATAAATGTTTTTTTAAATTTAAAAAAGTGTTTGGATGATTTTGTCTGCAGAAAAATGGTGTTTTAAAAAATAGAAAATTTATTTCAACTATTGGGAACACCCCATCTACTGTAAAAAGAAAAAAAAATCAATTTCTGAGGGGGTATGAAACATGACCCCAAAAATTTTGAAAAGGATAAAAGGGCCAATCGTGAAATTTTTTTTTAATTGTTCTTTTATAAATTTTTTTTAAACAAATTTTTGCATAAATTTTAATTTTAAAAAATTTAAAAATTTTTTGAACTTTTTTAAGAGAATACAAAGAGTTTAATGTAGTATATTAAAATTTCACTTAAATAAAAAGTTTAAAAAAAAAATATTTTTAAAATACATTTTTTTTCCCACTTGAGTTTTCCGTGGGGCTGGGGGTGGGGGAAGGGGAAAATTTAGGTATTTGCAGCACGAATTCTCTTCTTAATGCTTGTTTCCTGTAAAAATTTTCAAAAATATTATTAGCTGAAATGAGCCCCCCTTTTAAAATTTTTTTAAAAGGAGTTGTCCCTTTCAATCTTGGGCAAAAAATTCATCATTTTTAGGGAAGATTTAAAATAAAGTATGACCTGAAAAAGCAAAAAAAGGGGAACCCTTTATAAGAAGTACCGACTGTTTCGGAAAGTGCCAGCGATCTTGGGCTGCAAATAGTTCAAAGGGTAGATGCAGTTTACTGCCAAGTCAAAAGGGTTAAAAAAATTAAACAAAGGTACATTTGACCAATTGCCCTCACTTTATGAAACCAAAAGGTTTTCAAAGGGAGTCCAATGGGTTCATTTTTTTGTTATATAAAATTTTTTGGTTTTCAGGAACATTGAAAATTAAATTTAAAACTGGAAAAATGCTTAAGGTGGTTGGGGCCCAAATTAAATAAATTTAAAACAAGGGGTGAAAAATAACAGTAATCATATTTCAAAATTTTTTGAAACCTTTTTTCACAAACAAGAACAAACATTGGTAGGAAAAAAGTTTTCCCTTTAAAGCAAACCCCCTATAAAATTTAACTGGGAAGAAGTATAATTTACAGTTTACCTTTTTTTTTAAAAATTTGTTAGCCCCGGGGAAATTTTTTTTTTCTGTTTTCCCTTCCCCAAATTTTTTCTACAGCGTTCGAC